AATTTTAAATGTTTATGTATACATAGTACATATAGTTGACAGGATACCAGAGGACTGGTATCCTGAGTGTATATATTTATAGAAAACACTGAGGATAGAGGAAATGAATGTGAAATTGTACCACAGAAATACAATCAGCAAATTCAGGGTAAGAGTAGAAGAGCTGCATTCTTTTACAAATAAAAATTGCAAAGGGGAAAAAATCAGAGAGAGGAAGGGTGAAGGGGGAACTTATAGACCAAAAGTAACTTAAAAGATATCAGTCAATTGCTAATATAGACTTTATTTGGATTCTGATTTAAAACATACTGTAAAAAATAATAAAATCTGGACACTGAATGGGTATCAATAAAGAGCTGTAAGAAAAGGATAATCTTTTCTCTTACCGAATTTATTGAGGTGACGTTGGTTGACAAAATTATACAGGTTTCAGGTGTACAATTCTATGATACATCATCTGAATACTCTGTTGTGTTTACCACCCAAGTCAAGTTTCCTTCCATCACCATTTATCCCCTCATACATTCTTCTACCCACATCCAACCCCTTTCCCTCTGGCAATCACCATACTGTTGTGTCTGAGAGAGTTTTGTTTTTTTGTTTTTTGCTTAATCCCTTCATATTTTTCACCCAGTCCTGCAATGCCCCCTTCCCTCTGACAGCTGTCAGTCTGTTCTCTCAGTCTGTTTCTGTTTGTAATTTCGTTCATTAGATTCCACAAACGAGTGAAATTATATGGTACTTGTCTTTCTGTGATTGGCTTATTTCACTTAGCAAATACAGGCTGCAGGTCCATCCATGCTGTCTCAAAGGGTAGGATTTCCTTCTTTTTTATGGCTGAGTAGTATTCCATCATGTAAATGTCTCTATCCACTCATCTACTGATGGGTATTTGGGCTGCTTCCAAATCTTGGCTATTATAAATAATGCTGCAATGAATATAGCAGTGTATATATTCTTTTGTATTAGTGTTTCGGATTTCTTCAGATAATATTCCCAGAATTGGAAATGCTAGGTCATAAGGTAGACCCATTTTTAATTTTTTGAGATAACTCTGTACAGCTTTCCACAGTGGCCGCACCAGTCTGCATTCCCACCAGCAAGGCACCAGGGTCCCCTTTTCTCCACGTCCTTAGTGGCACTTGTTTGTTGATTTAACAATGACAGCTATTCTGACAGGTGGGAGCCGATTATCTCATTGTGGTTTTAATTTACATTTCTCTGATGATTAGTGACATTATCTTTTCATGCCTCTTGACCATCTGTATGTCCTCTTTGGAAAAGTGTCTATTCAGGTCCTCTGTCCTGTTTTTTAACTGGATATATCTTCTTGGTGTTGAATTTTATAAATTCTTTATATTAACCCCTTATCAGATGTATCATTAGTGAATATGTTCTCCCATTCATGGGTTGTCTTTTCATTTTCTTGGTAGTTTCATTGGCTGTGCAAAAACATTTTAGTTTGATGTAGTCCTATCTGTTCATTTTTTGTTTCCCTTGCCTGAGATGATATATATCAGAAAAATTATTGCTATGAGAAATATTTGAGCTTCTACTGCTTATGTTTTCTTCTAGGATTTTTATGATTTCCAGTCTTACATTTAAGTCTTTCATCCATTTTGAGTTTATTCTTGTGCATGGTTAAGAAGATGGTATAGTTTCTTTTTTTTTTTATGTATCTGTCCAATTTTCCCAACATCGTTTATTGAATAGACCGTCTTTACCCCATTGTATGTTTTTGTCTCCTTTGTCAAAAATTGACTCTCTATTCTGTTCCAGTGATCTATGTCTGTTTTTATGCCAATGTCACGCTGTTTTGATTAATGTGGCCTTCTACTATAGTTTGATAGCAGGTAGTGTGATTCTCCCAACATCTTTCTCAAGATTCCTGTGGCTATTTGAAGTCATTTGTGGTTCCATATAAACTTTCGGAATATTTGTTCTAGTTCTCTGAATACATCATTGGTATCTTGATAGGAAAATGCTTTCAATCTATAGATTGCTTTTGGTAGTAGGGATATTTTAATGATATTTCTTCCTGTCCATGAACACACTATATGCTTCCACTTATTTGTATCTTCTTCAATTTCTTTCTTCAGTGTCTTAGAATTTTCTAAGTACTGGTCTTTTACATCCTTGGTTAAATTTCTAGGGTTTGTTCTTTTATTTTTGGAAGCAACTGATTTCTGGATATTTATTTTATATCCTACTACTTTACTGAATTTATCAGTTCTAGTAGTTTTTTTTTTAGTGGAATCTTTAGTGTTGTCTATGTACAGTATCACGTCATTTGCAAATAATGTTTTTCTTCTTCCTTTCCAATTTGGATGTCTTTTGTCTTCTTGTCTGATGGCTGTGGCCAGGCCTTCCAGTGCTATGTTAAGGGTGGTGAAAGCAGACATCCATTTTGTTCCCAATCTTAAGGGAAATGCTTGTAGGTTTTGCCTATTTAGCATGTTTTTGGGCTGTGGTTTGTCGCAGATGGGCTTCATTACATTGAAGTATGTTCCCGCTCCTCTCACTTTGCTGAGTTTTAATCACAAATAGGTGATGGATTTTACCAAATGCTTTTTCTGCATGTATTGACACAATCATTTAGGGACTTTTATCCTTCATTTTGTTTATGTGGTGTATCATGTTTATTGATTTGTGGATATTGTACCAACCTTGGATCCCTGGAATAAAGCCCACTTGGTCATGGTGTATGATATTTTTAATGTATTACTAGATCCGGTTTGCTGGTATTTTCTTGAGTTTAGCATCTATGTTCATCAGGGGTATTGGCTGATAATTTCCTTTGTAGTGTCTTTATCTAGGTTTGTAATTAGGATAATGCTGGCCTCATAAAATTAGTTTGGGAGTCTTCCTCCTCTTGAATGTTTTTGAACAGTTTGAGAAGGATAGGTTAGTTCTTTTTTTAATGTTTGGTAAAATTCACCTGTACAGACATCTGGTCCAGGACTTTTGTTTGCTGGCAGTTTTTTGATTATTGCTTGAATTTTACTAGCTGTAGGATAATCTTTCCAATAACCAGCAGTACTAAACTGGATGGCCATGTGGGGACAAAAATAATACTTGACCTCTCTCATACACACAAAAATATTTTCAGGTGGACTATAGACCTAACCGTGTAACCCAGAATTATAAAACATTTAGAATGGGTAAGAAAATTTTCATAATCTTGAAGTAGGGAATGAGTCCTTAAATAAGAAATGAGTAAAGATCAATTCTCTGAAGAAAATAGAATAATGTGATAGTGACTGGAGGAAGTAGAAACATTCTGGCTGAGAGTTGAATGTACATCAGCCATGCATACTGCTGGAAGGGGTTGCCTGCAGAAGCTGCAGACAGCACAGCCTGGAAGGGGATAAGCTTGGGCTCATTCAATAAATAGCAAGACGCCTACTCTGCCTACATTACAGAGGAGTAAAGAGGACAGAGGGTGAGTCATGCTGGGCCACGTGTCACATCGGACTTTCTATTCCATTCTTGATGCAATGGGAAGGCACTGAAGGTTTTTAAGTGAGGGAATGTCACGGTACAATCTACCTTTTGGAAAAATGACTTAAGACCTATGTAAGAAGACTGAGGGAATGGGGAGAGGTGGGAATCAGCAAGAGAGGAAGTGGGAGATACTGGTTTTTATTAAGAAATCCAGGGAGGAGAGATGAAAGAGGCTGAACCACGGTGGGAACAATAAAAATAGAAAAGTATTCAGCTTCCAGATATATTTTGAGGGCAGTTTAGATCAAACGAGTGTCTATTTCTTCATTAAACAACTATTTATTGCATGTTGTAATGCATCAGGCACTGTTCTATGTACTGGGGATATAGGGACAGATAAGGTCCCTGACCTCAAGGAGCTTACAGATAACATATTCCTATGGGGGAAGCAGACACTTAATAAACAAATGAAAATATCCTAGAATGTCAGATGAGCGTTACAATAAAAAACAGAGTGACAGAGGTGGGGTAATATTTTAGGTAAGTCAGCGAAGACTTTGCATAGGAAGTAACACATAAGTAAAGATGGAGAGTGAAGCACAAGCCACACTAGTATCCAGGAGTCAAGTACTCCAGGTAAAGTGAGCAGCAAAGGAAAGGACCTTGAGGTGAAAATGTGCTCATGTTATGAGAACAGCAAAGCCGGTGTGGCTGTAGCAGCACAAACGAGCAGGAGAGTGGTAGATGAGGTCAAAGAGGTGGCCACAGGACAGATCCCACAGAGCCGTGTAGCTCAGACAAATTTTTGAATTTTGTTTGAAGTGTGATGAAAAGCCGTGAGAGTTGGGAGCAGAGAAGGAATGCGATTCACGTTTCCAAAGGATCGTTCTGACTGCTCTTCTGAACTCTGGGAGAACAGTAATGAGAAAAGATAACAGTGCCTCCAATACAGAGAGGTAAAGTGGGGTATGTTTGGGATATGTTAGTTGGAGTGAATAGAATTTGCTAAACTTCATGCAGAATACGAAAACCACATCAAGGATGATTTCTAGCATTTTGGCCTAAGCAACTGAAACGCTGTATGTCACATTTACTGGGATGGGGGAAACTAGAGAGGACAGGGTATGACACAGGATCAAAAGTTGTTTTGGGTCTTGAGATGACTATGAGACCAGGGGGAATATTAGATAGGCTGTAAGAGGTCAAAGCCAGAGATTAACTGTTTTTGAGAGTCACTGATGGATGGATGGCTGACCATTTTCAAAAGCAAAGTTTCTTCGTATTTGAGAATTTACTGCCTCAATTCTTAGGAGCCACCTATCAGCTGAAATGTATTCTTCCTGTGGGTCTACAGTGGCACAATTTACCAGTACATGAATACAGAGTCCCAACCTAATGCATTCAAGGTAATATAAATTTTATTAGAACCAAGTCTTAATAAATCTAAGAGACAAAGGAACCAGGAATCACATCTACTTCTATTATAGCTTCCTTATTTCTCCCTTCTCTCTTATTCCTTAGCACCTAGAAGCTTAGTCACCAATGAGTCCACAGAGTTAGCTATTCAATTTCAAAATAGAATTTATTTCTGTAATAAAGAATTAAAATATAGCTGTGAAAGTAGAGAATAATATAAAAATATTTTAAATGTGCAATAGTAATTTTAGAGTAAATGTAGTTAAGCATTAGTTTGTGCTCAACTGCTACTTGAAAGATCAACCAATATTTTATATTTATATTTTATTAACTACAGTGGAAAAACCATACCAACTTTCAATTTCAATGAATAATTATAATTCAAGAATGAGTCTACATACCTCGTCATCAGGGCCTTTTGAAAATGAGTACAAATCTTGGGGATATATTTTCCGAAGTTGACTTCACAAGTGACAAGGATTTTTTTTTAAACTAATCCATCCACTTAACCCAATGTGGAGGCAATATATACTTTTTGAATATAACCATTTTGATAAAAATGGGACAGGAGTATCATCTTTCATTGCATTGGTATAAAAGCTGGTAAACTCAGATATTCCCAAAGCTTGGTTTTCCAGGTGGGTCTCAAATTTAGACAGTAAACACAGATGAAGAAATATCTAATGAATTCTATCCCTTCCCGAAGTTTTATTTACAATTAAAATATAGGTATTATTTTTATGCAGAACATACAATAATATTGGAAAGTGTTTGACCAGGATGAAGACAATTCTTCAGAGACTACTGTTTGCAGTTTGCACATTAGGATAATCTTCTCTAGGAAGAATAATGTCAACATAGCAGTACTATATTCACCAGGGATTCCAAAGCCAACAGCTCAATCAAGTGGCCGGAAGCCACACCTTCTGGCTGCTTACAACATCACTCAGCTTCCCTTTAATCTTCAGGAAGTGTCTCTTGAATTCTAATCCATCACCCTATATTAGGAATAATATCCAAAAATTATGTCAAAAACCTTGGGAGAAGAAATGGCTAAATAAATCATTCTGACTTGACTTCAGGCCCATCATTGTTCCCACCACACTGGGCTCAGAGAGGCAACCCAATGACATCCTGTCTGTTTCAAGCGTTGACTGACATCTCTGGACCTAAGCCATTGTTTCCATACGTATTGGAGGTCGGTAAACTGAAAAGAAGCTGTGCAACCACACTGAGCCTTGCCAAAAGGCCGAAACAAAAAAGCCAGTGATTCGGTGCTAACAAAGATTTTGTTACACTAGGCTCTTAACGATATAATTCCATACCAAGCAAGAATCCAAGAATCGGGACAACAGTGTTGCTGCACATCTCCGACACAGAGAGTGAGACCTCCTCCAGCCTCCCTTAGAGCTACATGCAACGTCTCAGGAAATAGAGGGCACTATTTTTGTCTTACATGTCAAGGACTTTAAAACTACATATAACCCCAGTACCAATCATTTCTAAGAAATAATGAAAAAATGTGAACAAAACTATGTCTATGAATATTAATCGTAGAATTATTAACAGATAAAAGTCCATTAATTATAATGTGCAAATATTTTTGACAAATCATAAATACTGATTAAAAAGATATATGTAAATTCAATAAGAAAAATTTGAAATGCTTCGAAATTATCAAGGGTAATTATTTTAAAGGTAAAAATAATTTAGGATTATTTTACTTTTCTTATTCATTACTTAGTTACATATTCTACAAAACCCAAAAACTTTTACAAAGAAAATGACATTTCCATAAACTATATTTTAACATAATGACAAGGACAAATATTTATCTTAAATAAAAAAAGCAAGTTACCATATGTTTCTAAATGCTATGTACACGTAAACTTAGTACCATTTTAAAATAATCTCCACATAAGAGTATATTCATAGTTGAGTACATATTAGTTGCGGTTAGACTACCATAATGAAGTATCAAAAAAAATCTGTTTTCTCTGGAAAATAAGAGTAAATTTGATTCTTCTTTTCTTCTTTAAACTTTTTTGTATTTTTAAAATTTCTACAATGAACATGCACAAAAACTTCTTTAAGCAAAACGAAGTTTTTATTTTGTTTTAAATATGCTGTTCCACATACCTTAGAAAGCCGGAAGTCAACCAAAATCTTCTCATCCATCTCTACCAAATTCACTTTGAAGATCAGTTTATTGTTTCTTCTATCAGTTGTTGATACCGTAACCTAAGGCAATAAAAATCAGGTCAAGCCAGATGTGTGAGTAGAGGAAACTAAATAAAAGTACAGCCCAGGTCGGTGACACTGCTGAGATAAGACTTAGAGATGCGCTTCTGCAACAGGAGCAGTGCCCATCCACAGGCTCGCTCCACAGGCTCACTCAGCACAGGGTTTCCTCCCCCTGTGGCTGTGCACGCTCCGCTCAGGCCCGAGGTGAAAAGTATCCCCTACTTGTTTTTCACATTATGAAGGTTTTTGAAAAGCCTAAAGACAGTAGAATGTCAATGTTACAAATATGCTATAATAATATAAACACAAGTTGGTAAGTGGGAGCAGAGGACAAGGAGGAAGTGTGGGATTGTTAATGTGTCCATTCCTCTTTCACAGAAGGGAGTCAATTGTTACCGTTACAATTTAAGTATAGATGGGTTTTAAGGAAATAATAACGTGAGTCTCAATATTTGTAATAACTTAATAGTTATTAATAAATCTTTTAAGAAATATTATTTCTTAAGGTAAAGAACATTTTGCTTAAGTTCCTTTCATTTCAATTGTTTATTTTTCAAACCAAACTAATTACTTTAAATTTTAAAAATGAACTGATGAAAATTTTTTACTCAAATATTTAAATTTTTCTTTAGGAAAGGATATAATAAAAAATCGGTGAAATGTACCTGGTTCATACAGCTCTTCTTCCACTGATAGCCCAATTTCTCGCAAGTCTCCTTCAAGCACTGGTAAGACTTGTCTGCGTCCAGTTTGGTAAAAAACCGTGTCATCCTTTTGACCAAGCGCTGCCAGGGATTCTACATGCCAAGTAAAGAAAAGCAGGATTAATCCCATACCATCAAATAGCTATTTAGAGTGAAAATTCTTTTCTGTGCTGTAAGATTCTTATACATAAATGTCTCCTCTAATTATCTCTTATCAAAAAAACTGGTATGAAGTGTTAATACTTTAAGATTTATACATTAAAAAAAAAAAGGACTTTAAGACAATAAAAAATACACGGCTTCCATTATTTAGCTGAAAACCAAATTCTCTCACCTGTGAGGACCCTGGGGTGCCCAGTAACTGACTGTTCAGAAGCATGTGATCCGGACACGTGGGCTGGGAAAAGCTGATCCCCTGCACCAGCTTATCGATGCACGAAGGGCTGCTGTCCCACAGGGAAAGGCCCGTCCGCGGCTCGGGCTGGGAACTGGAGTACCTCACTTTTTCTTCACTGGCGCATTAGGATATGGGGAAAAATCGATCTTTAAATGAAATCTGCCAGGCCTTTTTAATAATACATTACACATTCTCACATCAATAAAAGTGACAATCATGATTAAGATAAAACATATACATATATTACTTTCCATGGGAATATTACCTTCAAGAATTATTATTGATCTTTGTTAATCGATCTTACCTAGAAGCACTGTTTACTAGGGAGATGTCCAAACTGGATTGGATGTGCTTAGAGAATCCACCAGGAGACTCGGATATACCACCTGAAGTGACTCGGGGCCTCTTTGCCCCTGAAAAAAATGAAGTAAAATAAACACAAATGCTTCTATGCAGAAACTTTTTAATGAACACAACTGGCAACCTGAAGCAGTAAAACTACATCTTAAGTCACTCAACACAAAATACTTACACAACAAATGGCTTCTTTACACCATTTTTATGAGGACTGGGGTCATTATGAACTTACTAGGACTCACTTGTCAAACTGCACAAATCCTGATCAGGAAGTATGTCCCAAGATTAGAGTATAAGGCCATAATTTTAACAGTACCATTTATGGTACTAGGGCAATGTTCTATGAAGACAGAGAGACTTAGCTAAAGAATCAAAACTTCTTAAAATAAAAAATAATTTATGACAATGGCAACAAACACTATGAATCTGCTCTATCCAACATTCCCCACTCCACTGAAAAAGCCTGAACGAGAATAACCGTTACACAGAAAATGAGTCACTATAAATTCATGGTTACTACCTTCAGCTGCACCCTCAACACCGACACTTGGTGCTGTGTTCCTCTAGCCCATTTCCTCTCCCTCTCCCCACAGTGACTGTTTCAAAAGCTCTGCACTCTTGTCCAACTCCCCAACCACCCTGCAGGAGGCACCAGTTCTTAGTGCATGAGACCGACTCTCATTTCCCAGACAACAAGGTCACTAGAAACCCCCTCCAGCTACACTTGAATCTGCTGATTTACTAGACAATAAGGTCACTGGAAACCCCCTCACACTACATCGAATCTGCTGATTTACTTTGCCTTCTTGCCCATCCTCTCCCCCCACCAAATATTCACCCCTCTACTTGCTCTTGAGCCCACCCACCTCTCCTATCTCCTCAGGGACCCAGACACCCCTTTACTCCCTGTCCAAGACCACCAGCCTCTTCCTTTCAACTGGATCTGTCCCCAAACCATTCAAACATGCTTAAGCCTAGCCAACCTTTTTATTTGTTAATCCATTTATTCAAATACTTTGGTAAGCCTACTCACATTTTATTAAGATGGGAGAAACAGCATGCTGGTATGCTGACAAGCTCCAGGAGAGGGGAAGAATGACAGAAGAATTACTATATAATGCCCCTGAAGAGGCAAAGGAGAATCGGGTCTCATGCACGAGAGAGAGCATTGGCTTGCATGTGGAGCAACTTATCCGTAGCAACAGGGGAGAAAACGACTGTATGAGCAGAGAGACAGTTAGGTGGGGGGAGATGGTAGTGAGAGCCCGTGGAAGTTCTCTTGTGATTGCCTCTATTTCCCAGTGAAACAGGAAGTAGTGGCACCACCCGAGACTGAGCACGGGGAAGAGGTATTAGGGGCTGAAGGGAAAAGGAGAGGTACAGTAAAGTGATTCAGGAGAGGGGGTTGTGACAGAAGTGGGGAGATGCATTATGACTGCCTGGGAAAATTAAGGGCCCACTCGGGATTAGTGATCCTGAATTTAGAGTGAACACTGTTTTATGTTCTTGTCCAGCTGCAACCAGCTGTGCAGGTGTAAGTGTAGAGCTCGTAGAAAACAGGACCAAACTTGGGTTAGGTTTTGCCCATTAGTATGATGAGGAGAGAAGGAGGCAAGGAAGTGGAAGATGAATGTGAACAAGTATTACAGTGACTGACCTTGGGCTTTAAAATAGTGAGGGTGAAACGGAGGACCTCAGGAGGTAGCAGAATTAACAGCTGCCAGCCCAGGTAGGGGCGGAGGATCACTGGGGTCAGGGTGCTAGAGGGAGGAGGAAAAATAAACTCGAGTTCGGAGCAGAATGCCTGAAGATCAGAGAGCGCTGGGAGAGAAAAAGGTCAAGAAAACGTGAGGCAGGGTACTGGAAGGATCACCCAGATGAATATTTCAATCACCAAGAGCCATGACAAAAACTACATGGCCTTGTGTTGGAGAGAGTGACAACATGAAAGAAATTTTAATTTGGGGTTCAGAAGGTGACTATAACGAGTAGGAATGATGGATGGTGGCAGAGTCTGATAATGAGGTTTGGGATGAGTCAGGGGTTGGCAGGGGGAAATGGGAAGACAGGAGAAAGTGACAATGAAGAAAAAAGAGGATGCCTGCCTCATCCCCAAATCCAAGGGTACAAGAGTGTGGGGAAAAAAAACATCTACTACTTGAGACGCAGCAGTACCCTCAGGGGAGAGTTGGACTTCAAACAGAGTAAGGTGAGAGGTGAAAGAAACATCCAGAGAAGGGTTAAAAACTCCTCATCTGCCTCCAGCTGGTGCCTTCTCTCAGCCACACTTCTTCACTGAGTTGTCTACATTCTGCTTCTCTTCCCCGAGCGGACTCCAGGCCCTGTGCAAACACTGTGCTCTAGGAACACCTCCTGACTCTCCCCCAGAACTGCTTCTGCCACATGATGAAACCCACTGGACAAGCCTCCACCCACTCCTTAAATGCTGGTGGTCCTTAGAATGTCATACACTCAATTTCATCATCAACCACTGATTAAATTACCATCTACTTGAAGAAAACACCTAAATGGATGTGTCAAGCCTAGTCCTGTTTTCTGGTACACACAAACACATACCTATTTGACAGTTTTACTTAGCTCCTCAAATGCAACACGACCAAAATCAGATAAAATCTCTCCCTAAGTCTGTTTCCTCTTGAGCTACATGCAGTAAATGGTGCCACCATTTATTTACAGTTGTTCCAACTAAGGAATCATCCTTGATCCCTCATTCTCTTCCTTTCCCGCATGTAAACAACCACCAGTCCTATCAATTAAAGTTCTTAAATCTCTTTGGAATCTGTCCCTTCTTTCCAATTCCACTGTCACTAACCTAGTCCAGGTTATCATCTTCTCACATCTAGGATGAAAAACATCAAAAGCAAGGGGAAAAAAGTAGCCAAAAAGAGCTTTTAAAACTGAATATATGATCATGTCATTTCCTTTCTAAAATCTCTCAAAGGTTTTCCCAACAGAATTTGTAACAAAATTCGTAACATGGCTTACAAGGTCACATGGCTTAGAAGGTTCTCCTTCACAACCCGGTGGCCATCTACCTTCCCCGCCTGGTCTCAGACCTCTCCCCTGCTCTGTGCATTTGTTCACTCAGCAACACGTACTGAGCGTCTCCAATGCACCACACACTGAGACCACGGGGGACACGCGGGCACGGTCCATGCCATACCGGCCTTCTTTCTTTCAAGTTCCTTAAGTCCCCCCTTTCTGAACCTCAAGACGCCCCCAAGGCCACTCCCCCTGCCCTGAATGTGCCACTTATCTTGTTAGTACTCCTCTGGCTAACTCCCCTTTAATCTTCAAACCTGAGATGTAACGTGACTTCCCCAGGAGGACACATTTTCTCTGTCACTTAAGACTTGATCTTACAACTAGCTATACTGCCCTGACTTTCAGGTCTATGATTATTAATAAAATCAAAATTATTTTTTTACATTTCTGTTTTTCCCACCACACAATCCCACAGCTGCCTGTGCTGTTGACTTGTGATAGCGACTCTGCAAGTTCTTTACGCTCACAGAAAAAAACACTTGTACGTTAAAGACCTTACCTTTCTTGAGTGGTTTGTTGTACCATCTGTCTTTTTTGATGTCTGGGATGGTAATCCTTACTGATGGGTTCTCAACTAGGATCTTATGCAGCAGAGCTGAAAACAAAACATGGAGACAACATTTACAAAAGAGTCACAAAGAACAGAAAAGCCTGCAGCCTGTGTACGGAACATTCTCTTGGTCTCCTTACGTCTAAATATTACTCGAAAGGGAGAGAAAGAATAAATTATTAAAGCTACTATCATCTATGGCTTTACTTTCATGCAGTTGTCCTTCGCTACTGTCTACACCTTAGGACGTGCTGCCCACACCTGAGTCTCAATTATTGGTAAAAAGTAGCCCATGGGCCAGGTAGAAATGTTTCTCCCTAGGTGACATTAACAAAAATATACAAGAAACTCTCTCATCTATTTTCAATATCAAACCTGTTCTACTGTCATGTTAAGTACTCATTCATGTAGTTTTTAAAAAGTTTACTTTCCAGTATCTTAAGCTATCTTAATTATCTTGACAAGGAATTCAACTATCTCCTACCACAAAAATAATTTTCTAATGGACAAAAGGCTTAACTGAAAAAAATGAAGTCATAAAAACACAAGTAAAAACATAGGAAAGTTTTTTCTAGTGATAGAGTAGAAAAGACCTTTCCAAACCTGACAATATAGTCAGGAACCACAAAGGACAAGATAATAGATTTAAATAAATAAAAATATAAGCCGTTTTGCATGTCAAAATAGCATAAACAAAATAGAAATATGACAAATTATGAGAAACATCTGTAATGAATGCAAAGGTAGGAGGTGGAAGAGGGAAGAGGCGCCTGAGTGGTGGTAGAAGGAGGCCCGACTGGGGTGGGGACACGCAGTGGTGTTCGTGCGTTAGGGAGCCGGCCACCCGAAACCCACCGATTCTGTTACCAGTGCCACCCCAACAGAGTCAATAAGAAATGAATAGATGCAAAGATCTAATGACAATACATTAAAGAAAACTAATAAATACATAGTGGATATATAACCTCATTAGTACTAAATTTAAAATAACAAAAAACAGTGAATATATTTTTATAGGTCTATCTGATTATTTAAATATTTCTTAATGTAGACTAATGAGATTGTGATGAAATGATATAAACTTTCTGAAAAGCAACTTGGCAAAGTAAACCAGAATAATTAAAAAGTACATACATTCTTGACCCTGCAATTCCACATCTGGGGTTTTATTTTAATTAATAATTTAAAGGTATGGCCAAGGATTAAGTTATATGGACAATCATCATATCTTTCATAACAGTAAAATTAGGAAGAAAATCTAAATCTAACAAAGCGAACCGGATGAGTGAAATAAGGAATATCCATTCAGCAGGACACCTTAGAGTCTCAAAACAGTGACGTGGGCCTGTAATTGTCGTCATGGACAAGCTCCCAAAGCATTAACACTAAAAAGTTACAAAGTTGCATGTATATGTACTTACATATTTTTAAATATTTTTACAACAAAGTATAGAAGCACATATCAAAATATTAAAAGGAGCTATTTCTGAGGGATTATAGGACTTTAAAAAATTTTATTTAGCATGTTTAAATTTATCTACATGAATCATAGATTATTTACGCAATCATTTAAAAGTTAAAAACATGTAATTAAAAAAAATCAAACAGTACTACGCTTCATTATCCAAATCCATGCTTTCATTCAGGACAACCCACTTACCTAGAGGAGCAGAATCGATTTTTTTCCAAGGGTTGAGGTATGTTTTCTTCTCTTTCCAATCGGAATACTCCTGACAGCTGTCACTGGGCTGGTCCCACGGCAACTCTAAAAAGGAAACAAGTCCCAGTTTCCTGAGTGTTCAGGTCATCATGCAGTAAAGGTTCCAAGGAAAAATAATCAACGATGCGAATCCATTTCCTCCAGGTTAATCCGATACAGTGTTCAAACTAAGTACCAACTCACAGAAGTTTCAGAGGCACTCAGAGACGCAGGAACCACTTCCTGCCCTACTCTTCCCAAAAGTATTCACATGAGTCTTCAAACCAAGAGCTACTGTGGTATTTCAATCACAGCTACACATCCCTCATTTTGTAAAACTGTTGGGATTAGAAGTTCCAACCTAGTTATAAAAAATTCACCATTAAAATATTGTCATATAAATATGGATACCCTTGGTTTCTTTCATTGATCTTGGTATAACAGATCTGTCTTCTTACAGAACAGGAGTTTTCTAACGATGAGACAGTTCTCACCTCCAGCCAACATTGCGGTGAGTACTATTCCACAGGACCAAACATCAACTGGTTCTGCATGGAACTCTTTTCTCTTTATAAGTTCTGGAGCAACGTACGGTAAAGTCCCACACATCTTGTTCAACAAGCGCTCACGGTTATTATGCCTGAACACAGTTGCCAAGCCAAAGTCAGAGATTTTGAGGTTATCTACACCAAGGAAAAAGAGATGGCACAGGGTAAAAATGTTTCATAACTAGATACATTTAAATAAATACAGTTTTATTGGAAAATCACCGGTGTTACTTAAGGTTTATAGAACTTGTCTACCTTAAAATGACCAGTTTTTAGAAGGAAGAAATAAGACATCATTCTCTAGCTAAAATTAGCAAAAGAACTCATTGCTTCTACTCAGAGAAATATCGTCAATGCACAAAATGAATTAAAGAAAGACCCTGGAGCCAAAAGGGCCTGCCCTTCTGGAAAAGGGCACCACTCTGGACCTGGGCTGAGCGCAGAGCTGAGCCCTTCCTGGGGTGTGCAGCGGGCAGGAGGCATAGACAATGATTAGGCATAGCTCTGCCAGCAGCCAACAAGCCCTGCTGGCAGGAAGGAAATACAGGGGTGGGCAAAAGTAGGCTTCAGTTGTTCATATGGAAAAAGATACATGGGTTACGATGATTACGATCGCTTTATTAACTCTGTGTTTCTTATGCTCACAACTCTACACCTGCTTTTGCCTACCCCTGTATATAAAGACACACCGAAACTAAAGATGTACAAACCACTAGAACTTCTTGTCGAAGTGGGTAAGTTTAGAAAAGGAGGAGGAACTCTGTATAGAAAACAAACCAGAAAAGCGAATTCCCACTCTAACTTCCCATCTTCAACACATACAAACTGCAGGCAGAACCTTCAGTTTAACTTCCACCTGGGGAGTGACTGCTGGAACAGAGTGATGCTTGTGCTAGCCAACGTGGTGAGAGAAACTACCAGAGAAGACCAACCACGGACATCTGATGCGCAGGTCGGGAAGACACAGAACACTGTAAAACCTTGTAGCAAAGGAATCTAGTCTTAGGGTCAGGGAAGATTCCCTATTTTCAACCTTTTCAGAGGGCAATCTGGCAAAGGACGTCAAAATCTGAAATATTCACACTCTTTGAACTATCAATTTCTACTTCTAGGACCACACCCATAGGAAAACGTACACCTACAAACTCACAAACATAAGGACATTCATAGCAGTATTAACTGTAAATAACTTAAGTGTCCATCAGTAAAGAAGTGATTAAATCTTATTATTAATGTACACAATGAAACTATATAACTAACTGTTTTTAAAAAGGTATATCTACATGTTCTGACACAGAATTGGGTATAAGTGGGAGAAAAGGGCAAGCATCATAACAAATATTCATTACAATAACATGACCCAATTTTTATATTGGGTATGTGGGCAAACTCACAGAGCAGTCATCACTGTTCTATTTTTTTTTAAGCTACAAGCAACTGTCCCAAAATAGGGGATTCTTTAAAAATCACTTACATCTGCACAATATAACATGTAAGCCATTGATGATGTTTACCTCTTAGAGTTGGGAGGGCCCTACTGTAATTACCTTTACACGTGACACAATCCTATAAACCACTGAGATTGAGTTCCAAGTTACTTATTAGTAGTAATCATTAAAAACACTGACGAATGACCTCAGTATTCCTTGGGTTTTGTTCTTTTTTTACATGTGGAACATAAAACAGGTTAGAGAACTGCAAATAATAAATTCTAAATTAAAGAGTGTGGTTACTTCTGAGAAAAAGGGAGAAATACACAGGAGGACTTCAACTATATTGGCAATGTTTTCTTTTTTTAAGATGATTATTATTGGATAGAAACAAAAAATATTTAAATAAGATGCAAGATATGAAGAATACAATGACAATGAACACCCACTCACCCAACACCCAGTGTAAGAACTTTTATCTCCTCTGAAATCCCCTTAAACACTTCCCAAAATATGTTCTTCCTCACCTTCTCAGAAATAAGCACCATTCTGAGTTTTATTATGCCCTTTCTTGTGATTTTCTCCATGTTTGTATATCTAAACAATACATTTGGTTTTATATATTTTTGAACTTCATAGAATCATACTTATATGAATTCCTCTACCATTTTTTTGCTACATATCACATTCCAGAATTTCATCCACATAATTAATTGTAGCTATAAATCACCCATTTTGTAATCTGTGTGTTCTATGGCTGATAGATATTTAGGTTGTTTCTAGTTTTTGCTATAAACAAAAAGCTGTGAGCAGTGCGTACACATGTAATGTTTCATTGTGTAAGCTGGGGGCACACTGGTGTTCATATGTATCTCCTTTATACTCACAACCCAAGTAGATACTCTTATATTTATATTCCCATTTTAAAATGAAGACAGTGAAGCAGAGCGAGGAGTGAAGCAACTTACCCAAGGCCATACACCCTATGAGGCAGCCTAGATTAAACCTTGGTTCCAATGACTCTGAAGCTCAAGCTTTTAACCCTACGCTATACTGCCTCTCATATTTTAGAGACATGCGATCCTTCTTTTCTAAATGTTTTTTTATTTTTTTAAGATTAAAAAAATTTTTTTAGAGAGAGAGGAAGGGAGAAAGAGCGGGAGAAACATCAATGTGTGGTTGCCTCTAGAGCTCCCCCTACTGGGAACATGGCTCACAACCCAGATATGTGCCCTGCCTGGGAATCAAAACAGACACTTTGGTTCTAAGTCGGCACTCAGCCCACTGAGCCACACCAGCCAGGATTCTTTTTTTTTTAATCCCTCTTTTTTCACAGGATTTTATGTAGATTGAAACCGGCATTTAATTAAAAAAGAATTTATTTCTAAATAACTTCTAAATGAGGAAGGAGAATTGATGATAATACCCTCAAGGCTTTTAGGATTCAAAAGGTAAGAGAATGAAAAATAGAAGCAAAGGGAATTCTCCCAGCTTCTGCTTTCTTTTCTCAGGGTTCGTCAACAGGCTATTCTACAGTTCCTTTTTCCCTATATACCAGATTTTTTGAATATCTAAAATTTTGCTACGTGCCTCATGAAACAACTTACAGAAGGCTAAATAACCAAAGGAAGCTCTTGGATAGCGAGGTTAGTAAATGACCTAATAAAAGGACTGCTAAAAGATATCTACCAAACTATTAACAAAGATATTCACTAAAACAGTAACTGGTGGGTTTTGAGTGATCTTTTTCTTCTTTATACTTTTAATCTCATTTCACGATCATATTTTATTTTTAGAAAGAGAAAAAAACCCAAGATTTTTAGTTTGGGAACAAAGTTTTCATTTTCCAGATAGTTTTACATATTCACATCTCTGTTTTTTATATAAGCTGGCTTTTCTAAATTTAGTCCCTCATATGAAGGTCAATTAGGAAGAATTGACCTTCATATGAGCTCAGGAAGAAGTCAGAAAGAGGCAGATGAGACAGTGCACTGTTACTTGTTGTGGGGAACAATCCTGCCAGAAAACAGTAAACTTAACATTGAACGAAATCTTAAAAGCACTTTGGTCTAACTCTCTAAGCCATGTTTAAATTCCCTTCACAGTGTCCCTAATAATCAACAATCTAGTGTATGATGCACATGTTACAAATTCACTGTTTTCCAAAGCAACCTATTTCTTTTCTGGACAGACCCCTTAAGAAGGGTCACCCTTGCTTGTATCAGTCCAAGTTGCTCTGCACAGTTTCCCCCCAAGTGTTCTGAAGAACTGTATGGAACAGTTAGCAGGTTTCCCTGAGTTTTTTCAAATACTCCTTATTCTACAAAGTTTCTACACCTTTCCTCATTCTGGTCACTCTCCTACAAAAGTACTTCAGTGGCCCACAGGCCTCCTACAGTATTTCCCCAGGATACCCATTATTTCTGGTGTGGCCTCACGTTAGCTTTCCACTGACCAAATTACACTGGTGACTGTTATGAACTTTTAACCTGCTTTGCTGCCAAAGATATGCCATTCAACAGTACTTATCTGGTACTTTTTTCAATCCAAATATTGGACATTAGATTTTTCCCTAATGGAAAACAACTTATTATTAAATCTGACCCACCTCTCTGGTCTGCTAAACTCATTCATTCAATAAATATTTTTGAAAGCCTACTATGTGCCGGGCACTATTCTATTCACGTTCATTTATTAATCATTAAAGAGTTGTTTAAGACTGTTCATCTAGTGAGCTACCCTGGCATCTAGCTTAGATTTCTCTGTCTCATCCATGACATCATGAAGGATTTGTTAAGTTTAAATATACCACAAGTCGCCCAAATTCCCAAGACTTTTCAGATTGTTTGCCTTGAAATGTCACTAAAGGAAAAGCCTCAAAACACTCTTATTTGGCTGTGTTAAAATAATTTAGGTAGCAGTGACAAGACACTCAACTTACCCCTTTCATCCAAAAGGAGATTTTCTGGCTTAATATCCCTATGAGTTATTCCAATACCATGCAGATAAACCTAAGTAGAAAGCAAAGGGAAGCATATCGGAATTTAGTAACTGACCGCATTCATGCTACTTTAAGTAAAAGGAAATGAGACAACTGCACCTACCACCCCTGCCATGAGTTGGTGGAAGAACCTCTGAGCGTCTTGTTCAGGCATGCCTATGTCTGGCTCTACAAGAATTAATTATGAAAGTTAGTTGACCAGGTAAATATAATCAGGAATCAACCACACAGTCTTCCTATTTCTAAGATTAAACATTTGTGACTGGACTTCAGCAAGCACTCATGCCAACAAAAGACTCTGGAGTCCAGAAACACATTGAATAATAACTCTCATTTCTTACTTAGTAACTTACTTAGTAATTCACATTTCCCCATCTGTTACATGGTAAAAACAAATTAATATTACAGGAAAATTACAGAGAGAAATAACAAACTATTATCCAAACCGAGAATGCAAACCATCCCTTGAAAGCCCCTGCTTATCTTACATTAACCGTGATTTATTTGATCTTTCAAATTGTTACATCAAATTCATCAAAATGTTACAGCAATATTTTTCCACTCCTGAAATGTAATTGCCAAAGTGGAAGCCTAGGCAAATCTGAGCTAATTTCACTAAATATTTAACAACAGATTTAAACTTCGTATTTGACTTTTCATACCAGTCACGGATACCAATGAAGTTTCTTTAGGAAACACAGTTTTATTAAGAAATGTCCTACTGTTAGTTATTATATCTTGATCTTCTTTATTAATTCATGATTTCTTTTACACTCAACTTTCTCCTGAGATTAAATACTGAAGATTCTAAAAATCAATTTTAATAGGATGGCTTTAAATAATAAATTTAGGTCCACAGAATATATTTTATGTACTTCTCAGTGTTCTATAACATCAAGCCTTTGAGTCTACATAGAACATTTAAGTAGCAGAAACAGAGTTTACTTCGTATATATAACAGCAATCGTAGAAAACTGTAAATTATTTCATGTAAACAAATAACAAAGAAAAATAACAACATGCTATTATTTGGGATCTGTAAATATATGCAATGATTTCATGTAACTCAAGTGTCTACAAAAAATTGTATAGGCAAACAATGCACCACATCTATAATAGCTCACCATGAAGTATTATCATTCTTAAAATCTACGAAACAACATTACCAACTCAAATCACTTAGACAACTTGGGAAGAACGTTTTCTTGACAGACTTTATGCTTTCAGGTGCCAAGTTGCAAAAACAAAACAATTTACTCCAATTGTTGCATAAACAGTTCTGAATGGATGCTGACCAAAGAGCACACCCAAGTTTAAAAAACAAATTTAGAGACTTCTTTAGCAGAATAATTATCTTAAATCTTTTCCATACCTATGCGATCAAAAAGCTCTCCCCCGCTACAATACTCCAGAAACAGATACTGGATATTGCCTTCTCTCCGGTGGCCGTAGAATTTCACCACGTTCTCGTGATTTAACATTTTATTGATGCAGATCTCTTTCTTAATATTTTCTGGACAGTCTACGGCACGCTTCATGTCAACAATCTTCACTGCAACTGCTTCTTCAGTTCTTCTGTTCACAGCAAGTTGGACTCTACAAAGAGAAAGGAAAAGTATTAACACTCCGGACACCTGAATTCCATTTCTTTTTAAAACCTCAAAAGATTCAACACAACCCACCCAACTATTTTACCTTTATCAAATTCGTCCACCAAGGAGAAACCATGGGAATGGTTCCCGTGATATTCTCAAAAGATTCAACTCCTTTTTGAAAGGTGAGGTACAAACAAATGAGGTACTGACATAATGTGCCAGTCCTATGCTGTATAACCAAGTCACTGAACACACGCTTGAGAAAAGAAAATGGGGTAATAGCCATTCTAGGCCCCATCACGAATACACATCCTCTACTCAATCAATTTTAATAACATTACCTAACATTCAGTAATCCTGTGGTCACTGTCCTAAGCACCCATAGATAAGGTAAGCACCATTATTGCTCTCTTACGGCTAAGAAAACATAGGCACTCAAGGACACTAAGGCGCTTGCTTAAGAACAAAACAATGACCCGCAGGGCAAGTGACAGACTGAGGATGTGGCTGGCTGGCTGGCGCCAGGCAGTCAAACTCCATCTGATAGTCCGTTCATTTAAGCACTACTCCTAAACCCCAAGGAAGGAGTATGTGGCAGGAGAAACTGACTTTAGAGGTCCCTTTCAGCTCTTTACAAAGAAAATATAAAAGAAAACGAAGTCCTTACAAAAGATCATATAGCTTTCAGTCCCCACAGGTCTTGGATTGCAAAAGTAGAGACCTGTTTTCTAAGCGCCCAGGGCATTAAAATGAACAGGGGTGGGGGTGGGAAGGGCGCCGACTCACTCTCCGTAGGCGCCTTCGCCCAGCGTCTGCACCAGATCCCAGTCTTCCACGAAGGGCACTGCCATAACTCCGCGGGGCACCCAGGCTGCAAGGGGCAGGAGCCAGAAAAGAAGAGGGATGAGTTCGACCTCCCATCACCTGTGTAGCCGCGGGGCCCCGCGTCCTACCAGGAGTCCTCAATATAAATAACAACTCTGGTTTCCCCTGGCACCTCATCACCCATATTTCATTCCCGTCTAAACCACAGCCAAGTATCCTAAACTGGGGCGTTGGGTCCCGTGCGCTTCCACTGGCACACACACTGCATGCTCAGACGCGCCCGTTCCTGTCCGGGAAGGGATGGAGCAGTGGTGGTGGTGAGACCTGGGGGCTGGTGCCTCCCGGGGGATGTGGAGGCGGGTGGGAGGTATGGGGAAGGTAGCTATGACCACCGCAACTCCTCCTCTCTGCCCCGCAGCGTCCCCTGGCCGAAGGGGATCGGGGCGGAGCCAGCCTGCCGGGTGAGGCGGAAGGGAGGACTGGGTGGCATACAGGCTAGCCCAGGGTTGGCGTCTGCAGTCCCTCTGCCACCCAGACCGCGGGATCCCGGACCCTCCTCCTCTGCTCTCTGAAACCGCCCCTCCACGGAGACTCTCCGAGCCCTGAACCCATTGCTGTGCACTCCCGCATCCAAGGCGGACCCAGAATTCCTCTGCAGAGCCCCTCGCTACGCTGCCCGCCGCCTTCCTCACCCGACGGTCCTCTGCCTGCCACCACAGCAATCCAAATGCAGCGCTTTTCCCGCCAAAAGTGGCAGCGTCACACTGTCGCAAACCTGGGCGCCCTTGCCGTAAAGCAGGGAGGCGTGCTTTCCTGTTTTCCAGGTTTGGAAGGGTTGTCTCTGCGGCGGCCTGTACTCTGGTCCCAAGGGCTTCAGCAGCGGGCCTGGGCTCTTATGGGGTCCGGAGGAGGCCCTGGCTGCCGAGAGCGCCCGTGCGATAGCTCTCTGAGCCCAAGGGCGTTTTCGTTCCGGGCGGAGCTGGAGAAGAGCTCCCAGGCAGCGCTGGAGATGAGCGTGCGTGCTGCCTCTCCAGTCCTGGCATCCTCGCACAGCTGCTCAGCTACTGGATAGGACTGTGTTGCCAATGGACACTCTGTCACCTTCCAGTGCAGCTCAGACCGAGCTCGGGCCGAGAAGCTGGGGAATGGTGCTGAAGGGGCGAAGAAAGCTGCGGGGACCTCAGAGCCCGCTCCTTCTGGAACCGACAAGGAAGGCAACGGGTGCAATCTCTTGTAGTTTGCAGTAGTGGGGGGATGACCAGTTTTGCTCGTTGTTTTCTGAACCGGCTCCAGAGCAGCACCTTAGCCCCACTGTTTTGGAAGAAGGGCATCTGCATAGCTTAGTCCAACCTGCTTCTTGTTCTCACCGTGGAAGAAACAGGCAGGTGGAACGAATATGGCTTTGTCTCATTTCACAGTGCCAACTATAAAAGTAGAGTGACTAGTTTACAGGAAAAAGTGCATTCTGGAGAAAGGGGCCTGCTTGAGGATAAAATATGGAAAACTGAATTAGGTATTCCCTCTTGACAGGGAACGACTGAGAACTCCATGTAGTTCTCCAGTTCTGGAAACTGGGCCACATGCATTGAGCATAACTAGCTCGATTCTGTTATTGGTAATGGAGTAAAATAAGTATAAAATATGTTGCGTAATTAACTGTCACCCAGTAAATGTAATTTTTTGAAAAAACACTCGTTTGTTTTAAAGCGAGCCCAGAACATTCAGTAAGTTTTGAACCATGACATCACAGGTCAGGATTCATGTAATAAACTAAGTTTTCAGGTCATTTACTACATTTTCCCTGATATGTGCACTGTATTACAAAGAATATGAAGAAATCAAGTGGAGGACCTGCTCCGTTTCTGTGTGTCTGGATGGAATTCAAGTTATCTTCGCTTGAAAAAAGGTATACAGATTTTGGGAAAATACAGGGTTAAAGACGGCACATGGCAAAATAACTGCACACAACAGCCTCTGCTCCCTTCTCAAACCTTACTGAAATATTAAGTCTTTTACAGGCATAAGAGCAGAATATGAAAAATAAGACTTTGGCAAGTGAAAAGTCTTTAGAGAAAACAAAGATGAATGCTGAAGCCAGCAATGGGAAAGCTGAAAAGCAACTTGATTTATATCAGAGCTTCCAGAAGGCTCAAGTTGAGTTAGTGACACCAGGTAACTGAAATGTGGGTGAAGGTGGGGCTGAAAGGGGGTAGACTGAAAGAATACTAAGAAGCAAATACACACGTGGCTCCTCTCCCTCTGTGTACCCAAAGATCTGACCCACCCCCACCCCAAGCTGGTATAAAACTTGAGGGTAAATACCTGGTGAATGTATTTACCCATTGGAGTGGGTGTGCCTTACTGAAAACAAACAGATTATGCACTGAAAGCTGAACTTCTAAGCTTGCTTTCTGCCCTTTACTCTTAGAAGTCTGGCAGCTTGGCTTGTATTCTTAGAAGATAAACAAGCCTTCTCACGGGAATGTTACCTATATAAAAGGAAAGATCTACAGCTTTCCCAATGGAACAACTCAGCCAGACCATAGGAGTGAGGCTCACATTCAATAAGCCAGACCCCTCTCCCCAAACAGACCTTCCAATCACCTTTTTAGGATCCCACTCTTAAAAAGAGCAGACAGCCAAGAGTGTGAAAAGGCCTTTAATAGAAAAGTCAAAACAAAGGAATATTAAAACAAAAACTCTCTTGGAAATTAAAAAATCTGATAGCAGAAAACAGGAAAACTATATAGTTACAAAGATTTTTTTTAGGAAACCTTCCAGAAGGAAGCATAAAGATAGTAAACAGAATAAGAATATTGGAAGATTAATTAATCCAGGAAGTCCAACATCCAAATAGCATTATTTTTTCAGAAAGAAACAAAATTGAGGGAAATCCACAGATAACTCAAGGAAATTTCCCAGAACTGAAGAATTCGACTTTCCATACATAAAAGTTTACCCAGCACAATGGATGATCCACTCCAAGACATACCATTGGAAAAATTTCAAAATTCTACATATGAAGAGGTCTGAGGTGGGAGTGAGAGGGAACGTACACATGCAAAAAAAATGAGAATAGCACTGTATTTCTGATGCATTTAGAAGAGAGAAAACAGTGAGCCAATGCCTTCAAAATAATTCTAAGGAAAAGTTATTCACAGCCTGGAACTTTATCTAGCCAACCTATGGAGTGTGATGTGAGATATGCAAGATCTCAAGAAATTTATCTCCCACACACTTTCTCAAGGAGGTAGTTAGAGGTGACAAATCAAGAAGGAAGTTGGGGATTAACATACCTAATATGATAGTGAAAGGATACACCAACCCAACAGGTGTGTAGCAAAGCTGGAGTAAACCAAATGAACACAGCAAACAGAAGACATCTCTAAGACATACCTTATGGATCTAAACATATTAAAAGGAAGTTGGCACAAATGAATGGGAATTTGGGGAGAAATTAGTGACAAGCACAAAAAAAAAGAAAGAAAAAAACTCCATCCAAAAAGGTAGGTGGGGGGGGGGGGGGGGAAAGTAGTGACAGTATTCCATATGGCCTAGTTGTGAAAAGCTCTAAGGTAAAAACTACCAAGCTAACTTAAATCATAACTATAACAGAACCTTAAAATGGTCCGTGGGAATAACAGGATGGTGAAAGAGAGCTAAATCTTTACTTTGCCCACCAGAAAGTCAACAGATGATACCTAAAATTGAAAAAACTAACAGAGCAAAATAAAGCAAGTTACTTAATGAGATGGAGGTAAATAATGTGAGAGTCAGTGGAGTTGAAGGAGGTTGTCTCCCAGAATCGAAAAACACTATTTTGCTTTTTAGAATTGAGTTGTTTTTACACTAAATGTACTGTAACAATGAAAATGAAAAGTAAATTTTTCAAAGAGAGAGCTTCATGCAGCCTAAAATTACAAAATTAAAATTATCAAAGCAACAGCTATAGTGATAAGTTTGAGGGTTATCCCATATATATTATAGAGGAAGATCATTAATGATTTCTAAATGGTATTATTTATGTTGGCAAAAAGAAATTAAAAAAATAAAACTCAGAATAACCCCTTCTACTAGGGAGAAATTCTGCATATAAATCAAGTAATGTATTTACATATAGTAAAACAAATACAGTTACATCAAATCTAAATCTAGTATATAAATTGGTTTGGAAGGTTAAGTTTTCTGGGTATATAAGTACACCTGAGTATACTCTCTGGGAGCACCATTTTGCTTTATCTAAAAGCCATGTACTTGCTCCTGTTTCTTCAACAGGTAACAATAAACAGTTACCTTGTACTTTTAAAAATGACTTGAAGTTTATATACATCACTAATATGCCTTACGTTATAGCAATGTCCTACTATACTGAACATAAAGCTGTTTATCCTGACATTACATACCCATTAGATTACTGTGCTTTATTTATTTTTTTTACCTTTCTCTTCCCTTCTACTGCAGTCAGACTAGCGCTGTTCTCAAGCTACTACTAATAGCAATCCTCCCTTCTCACTTGTAACTTATTTGGCAAGAATGTCAGAACCAGATCATTGAGATAGTGGAATATAATGGCCACAAATAGGCAGAGACTAAGGGATAAAGAAGCTCACCTTTACGTAACTGCAAGAGTTTTAGAGCATAAACTAAAGGAAATGAGCAGAGACATGAGCTGTGTTGTGGTTAAGTGAGAATACTAAAGAGCTGGATTTCAAACAGATATGCATGGTTATACTTTAGCTGACTCAAAAACACCCAATACTGACCAAGTTTTATACATAATGGTGGAAGAGTTTCTTTCTCCACTGAGAATGAGAATAATAATGTCACTGTTTGTCTTAAGTCTTCAAAACTGCTAATTTATTCTCACTTGATTTATTCCTGCTAAACAAACAAAACAAACAAACACACACCTCACTAGTCCCAAAGAAAAATTTTAACTAGTCGACCGTCCCAGTCGACTAGCCACCCCTTCCCCTTCATAGAGTCAAAGAGCCTCCAAGGACGAGGCGTGTTGAGATCAGAGACATGGCAGCACACAGCTGCCATTCCTGCCCAGACATGGCCCTCCTGCAGTCCCACATTTATTCAGTTGGTAAGAATTTACTGAGCACCCACTGTGTGCAAGGCATTGTGCTCAGTGCTGCAATTTTTGAAATGACAAAGTATGTGTAGGATCTGACCCAGTCAGTCCTTGCCAACTTTCCTGATTTGAGAGGCAGAATGCCTCTACATAGCTGATTTAGGGAGCAAAAGCATGGATGAGGTCTGCTTTCTGTCCTTCTATCAGCCCACCATAAACTTCTGCCTTCCTCAAACTGGTCAAAAGTAAAAACAAATAAGGCACGTTAAAAAAAAATTCCCTCCCTTTAATTGACCAAAGTAAAGCCATGACATTTCATTTGGTAACCTGCTCAGAATTATAAAAATCATTGCATTTGGCCCAGCCCATACTGCCCAGGGCAAAACTTCCAGACAATTCTAATCCCATCATGTTCTGCTGTTATAAACTGCGTATTTAAAAAACGTCTTCAGCATCCTAAATGAGACGCACTAAGTGTGAAGCATATCAGAGCTGGAAGAAATGTTTATGTCCTTGACAAGCCTCGATTATCCAGGTCCTTCACCTGCAACACAAAGATGTCAGTTTAATATTCACAATCAGGTCGACTTGGGAGAGCTTCTCTACCAAGCTGGGCCCCCCCCTGGTTTGAGACTAGCTACTCTCTGCTTAGCCTTTCGAAATATCTCTGTGAGGGGCAGTATAAATGATATACTGTCCAAATACATCAAGGGTTCTCAGTCTTCCTGTACGTTAAGAGATATAACAAACTCATCTGTGACTTTGTGCCACAAACCCTTCAGTAGAAGAAAATGTAGTTCAAAACACGAACATACACTTTCTCCCCCCTCACCCAAAGCCTGCTTAATTACTAAAAAAGATCAAGTTCAACCCCAGCTGGAAAAACATCACTGCAACCACTGCCAAAATGGCAGCAGACTGGGGTGTCCATGCTCTCAGAACAATCTAAAATGGAAATGGTAGAATTCTGACTTGCCAGCTACTCTTCAGACATTAGAAATGTGCAGCCCACTTCGAAGTACCAGAGCCCAGCCCCAGACAGGACGGAAGCTTGCTTCCCATGACACTGCTCACCTTGTATATCCTGACCAGCCAGTGCTCGGTGGTGTACGCTTCCTCTAGGACGTCAAGCTCGAAGTCTTTGTTCCCAATCTCAGCGTTCCGCACACGGTCAAAGCCTGGTGGGCGCTCTAGAAAGGGACAAGAAAAAGAGACACACTTCTTTCTACAGTGCTGATTTCCTAAGGAAAGAGTAAATCAACTTGGTAAATCACCCACTAATTAGAATGTTATTCCTTAGCCTGCAGTTTGCTTAGAGAGCAGGACCTGCCCAAAAGGACATCAGGCAGTAAGGACAAATCCAGCATTACCCTATCCAAGTCCTCTGCTAGAGGATGAGGCTTCTTATGTCTTAATAAGTTCTTAGTGCAGAACTAAGAAACTGAAGTCAGAAGGAAAGACAACCTAATCAAATTGCTCTCAATATATCTAAGAAATAAAAATCCCTTTATCTATTCTATCCTGCTTTATTCTTTTTTTCCACTGCAATACCCTTTCCTGAGAGACAATAAAAAATAATGGGTAAGCCCTGGCTGGCGTAGCTCATTGGATTGAGCACAGGCCTGCAAACCAGAGGATCGTAGTCCGATTCCTAGTCAGGGCACATGCCTGGGTTGCAGGCCAGTTTCCAGCAGGAGACACACAAAAGGCAGCCCTGAGAGAAATCGGTATTTCTTTCCCTCTCTTCTTCCCTTCCCCTCTAACAATAAATAAATAAAATATTTTAAAAATAATAATGGGTAAAAGCACAGACTCTAGAGCCAGACTGCCTGAGTTTAACCTGACTCTGCTACTAGTTAGGTGACTTTGGGCAGTTAAGTATCTTATTAGTCCCTTAATTTCCTCATATAGAAGATGGAAATAGTATTAGTATTTACACCTTCTGGGTTATCGTGAGGATTAAATGTGCTAACAGATGTAAGGCACTTAGAACAGTGCCTGGAATGCGAAAAAAGCTGTGTTAGCGACTAGCACTGCTCTTACTACTGATATTAAAGTGGTCGGGGATCACTCACTGGCTTCCGTGTAGACCTGTCCAAAGCGGTAGTAACACATCTTGTACATGAGGCAGTTCAGCAGCACAGGAGAGCCCTCACGATCCACACGGAACTCCCCAGTTGGAGTGTAATAGTCATGCTCTTTGATGTGTCTGCCTGTGTCTGTGCTGCCTCCAATCCGAACCATCCACAGGAACTTGTTGATGTCTAGGGAAAAGAAAGCGGAAGACAGAGCTGCTGCGTCACAGAGGTAAATCTGATTTAGCTGGAGCTAAATCACCTAAAGAAAAGGTCACTATTTCTAAGAAAAGTCCCCAAATATTTTTCAAATGGGAAATGGTACCCTTTAACTCATTTATAAAAACTGGAAAGACAATGTGTGAGCAAAACTTTTTTCCTCAAAATATACAGCCTGTCCCATAGGTTACTGGACTCCTGAAACCCTATACAACCAGTCCAGACTCAGGTCACAGCTGAAGTTATTTTCAGACATTGGCTGGGGCTGAGTGTCCAACACAGTAGCCACTAGCCCTGTGGAGCTATGGGCACCGGCAACGTGGCTAGTCCAAATTCAGATGGGCCGCAACTGTAAAATACATACCAGATTTCTAAGACACAGTCCAAAAACAAAATAAGTGTGTACAATATTCAGTTAAATAAAATGATTAAAATTCATTTCTAGGGGGTGGGGGGAAGGCAGAAGAGGGTCATGATGGGGTCAATGGTGATGGAAGGAGACTTGACTTGGGTGGCGAACTCACAATACAGTGTATAGATGATGTGTTACAGAACTGCGCACCTGAAACCTGTATAATTTTATTAACCATTGCCACCCCAATAAATTAAATAAGAAAGTTAAAGATAAATAATTTCATTTCTATTTCTTTTTACTTATTTTGATGTGGCTAACAGAAATTTTTCAATGACATACGTGCCTCCACTGTACTTCTATTGGACAGCACTGACCGCGGAAGTGGCAGCTTTACCAGAAAGGTACAGAAGGCGTGCACACGCTCCCTTTCTTTACCTACAGCTGCAAAGTTACAAATTCCAAAGCATATCTATGAGAAGCCAACATTTCTATGTCAAAATACTGATACCACTATCAACTCAACTCATCTCTGAACATGTTACCCTCTGTATCTCCCCCACAGGCTATAGGGAAATGATGGTTAGTATAAAAAGTATTACTGATCCGCATGAAAAAAAGATTCCTATTGCACTACTGCAGAGGGTTCTAGGATGTATCACAGTGGTTAAGAACACAGACTCTGGATCTGAACTGCCTAGGTTTGAATTCTAGCACTGCCAGTTCTACATGGGTGACCTCCAGCAAGTTACTTAACCTCTATGTGCTACAGTCTCATCTGTCAAACTAGAAAAATGACCGTGTCTACTATATAGCTGCTACAGCATTATGAGTAAGAGTATGTAAAGCATCTAATGCAGGGGTGTCAAACTCATTTTCACAGGTGGCCACATAAGCCTTGTGATTGCCCCCCGAGGGCTGAATATAATCTTAGGACTGTATAAATGTAACTACTCCTTAACAGTTAAGTGAGAGCTCGGCGCTGCCACCAGGTAGAAACAAGGTAGAGGGCTGGATTCAGACCTTGTGGTCCTTGTGTTTGCCATGTGATTTAATATATCATTTGTAAGCATTCAATAAATAATGTTGCTGTCTTTATGTAGTATCTGCAGTCTTCCCCCCACCCAGTAAGTGGGAAAACCAAGGCACAAAGACTTGCCTAGATCACACAGCCAGAAACAGGACCCAGAACAAACCCCAGTGCATCGACTCTACTCCCTTACAGAACTAATCCTGTAGCTTCCTTGTATGTCCTTGTGGTATGTTTGAGGCAAAAACCCGACAAGCTTTAAAAATGGAAGAGTACATAAGCAGAAGAGATAGATTAATCAACAAAATGAAAAGGCAGGCTACAGAAAGTATTTGCAAACCATGTATCACATAAGGGTTTTAATACTCAATATATATTAAGAACTGACACAACTCAATAGCAACATCCCCCGCTCCACATCCCCACAACACACACACATATCCAATTAAACAACAGACAAAGGACCTGAACATTTTCCCCAAAATACTGAAATGGACAATTGGTACATGAAAAGGTGCTCAACATCACTCATCATTAGGGAAATGCAAATCAAAACCACGATACATCACCTCACACCTGTTAGAATGGCAAGAGGTAACAAATGCTGGGGAAAGTGACAGAAAAGGCAAACCCTTGTGCAGCACTACTAGTGGAGATGTAAACTGATACATCCTCACTATGGAAAACAGTATGGAGGTCCCTCGAAAAATTAAAAATAAAATTACTACACAACCCACCAGTCCCAGCCTGGGTATACACCTGAAGGAAATGGAATCATTACTCCAAAGAGACACGAGCACCCCCATGCTCACTGCAGCATTATTCGTGACAGCCGGGACACAGAAGCAAACTAGGTGCCCATCAAGGGATGAGTGGATAAGGGAAATATGACACGTGTATATTATATATATGTACATACATGGATACTACTGGTATACGTGATATGTACATATGATGGAATACTATTCAGCCATAAAAAGAAGGAAATTCTGCCATTTCTGACAACACAGGCAGACCTAGAGGACATTACGCCAAGTGAGCAAGTCAGAGAAAGATGAATACTGTATGAGCTCACTTATGTGTGGAATCTAAAAAACAAACTCACAGAAACTGATCAGATGTGTGACTACTAGAGGCTGGGGTGGGGTGGAATGGGGTGGGGGAACTGGGCAGAGATGGGTGAACGGCACAAACTTCCAGCTATGAGGTAAGGAAGTCCTGGGGACGTCATGTACAACATGATGACTACTGTGAATAATGCTGTGTGGTTTAACTGAAAGTTGTTAAGAAAGCAGATGTTAGAAGTTCTCATTACAAGAAAAAAAATTGTAGCTATGCGAAGGAGTAGATGTTGACTAAACTTATGGTAATCATTTGCCATATATATATATATATATATATATATTTACATAATTAGCTTAAACTTATACAATGTTACGTGTCAATTACATCTCAATAAAAACTGAAGAAAAATGGAAATATATAAATGAATGGGTATGGCTATGGTCTTAATAAACAGACCCCTGATCTACTGGATCATCAGTCAGTGAATACTATGTATCTTATCTTAAAATTTCCATATAATGTAGTATCTGAGAAAACACTTTAAATCTTGATTGTTTTCCACAGGGATGTAAAGTATAGCATAGAAAATATAGCCATTAATTTGTAGTAACTATGTATAGTGCCAGATGGATACTAGACTTACTAAAAGGATCACTTCATAAGTTTTATAAATGTCTAAGCACTATGCTGTACACCTGAAACTAATTTAATATTGAATGTCAACTATAATTGAAAAAAAATTTTTTTAAAGAAATGCACTTCAAAACTGTATCTAGGTAATATCACTGCATATGGGCAGGCACTGGAAGAAAATACACCAGGAAGTAAAAATACCTAATACTTTACTAAAATTTCATTTGTTTTTCTATTAAAAATTTCAAATGTTAAAAAATAAAAAAAGGACAAGTGAAAAGTAAGAGAAAGTGCAGAAAAGACAGCTTATTACTAAAAGATGTTTTTCAACCAAGGAATGCACCAATACGTGGAACAACATTTTTACACAGCTACATGACCAGTTTACTATGAAGGAACAGCTACTTCATCATCATTCAAACATCTGTATCAGCACTACATATATGCACAAACGAAAAAGACTTGTAATACCAAGTGTTGTTTAAGGATGCAGAGCAACCAAGAACTTCAAACAATGCTGGCAGGAACGTAAACTGGTCCGACTACCCTGGGAATCCCTCTGCCTCTGGGAACTGATGTTATAAGAGGGTGTAGGTTCAGAAGTGCTTAACATTTAAAAGTATAAAAAGGTATTGCTTTAATTTTTTTAAGTTTTTTTTTAGCAGAGAACAGTATTTAGATGATTCTTCTAAAATTATGGTTTTGCTAATAATCATAGGGAACATATGCTATACATACATGTGTATGTATGTACCAAGTAAATAAAACATTTTAAGCTGGCAGATCATTCTATGGCTTAAACCCACTAAAAAACGTTGAATCTGAGATTCATTTTCAGAAGCCTGATGTTGTTTGTTTACTGGCTGTGGAAGTCCTCCTAGGTCTTAGACAAGTATAGCAGGCCATACCTATATGAGAAATATTTACATTTACTTCCTACTTGTTGCAAAAAAAAAGGAAATCAAAATAACCAAAAAAAAAAAGGCACGTTGCAAATACTTAGGACCCTCCCCAACTAGGAAAATGTTAGTAACAGTACAAGCACAGAAATACAGGAGCATCATCTAGTTTTCTCAGAGTCAATGCCCTGTAGCTAGAGATAGAATCAAGTACATTACCATCAGAGGAATACCCAGTAAGGCCTCCAAAAATGACCAGCACATAGCTAACATCAAGCTCCCTCATGATCTCATAGGCTTTTTCTTCTGTGGATGCCATTGCCTAGAAAAATATGTGCACATTTCTCAGAGCAAAATTCCAGGTCATACAATACCTAGTGGAGAAACACTCCCCACTAGGCCCTGTGGGCCCAACACCCAAACGATCCCTTTACTTACCTGCCCTACTCGAGAAATGTGGGTATTGTTCCACGTGTTATTGTCCACTAAAATCGTCCGATTCGCCATGGCTGTAATCTGGTAGCCATAATCCCACCACGACATGACCTTCGCATCCTGAAAGAGGCATGGGAAGGGAAAACAAGCTTTCTACTGCATCCAAAAATCACATATAGAGAATGGAGTGGAAATGCATCTGACAGGCAATGAGGCATGGATAATTAATCAATTTCTGTACAGAACGATGCATGCCTAACCAGAAAACAAAGCTTTGCACTTGGTCCTCCATTTACATACGATCGTAAAATCTCAGTGCAAACGACACAATCCAACATTCCCGATACTGTCACCATAGCTCACCTTTTACAGACAAGTGTAATGGAGTGGGAGGTATGGGGGGCTGTTCACTATCTCCAAACAAACAGCCTGGCACCACCAGATGATTGTATTAAATAAATGTTTTTTAACAGCATCACAAAAATCAGTTATAAAGATGGCAAAAACACAAATCACAGGTTATAACAGGAAAGGATTAAAAAAATTCTTAAAGTTTTGACTTTTTACAAATCTAACTCAGAAGTGCTATTTCTAACAGCTACTGCAAGGGAAATAACTTCAAATCCTCAAATGCCTGGCTGGTGTTGCTCAGTGAATTGAGCGCGGGCCTGCGAACCAGACAATCGCGGTTTGATTCCCAGTCAGGGCACATGCCTGGTTGCAGGCTGGTTTCCTGCAGGCCAGTTCCCAGCAGGGGATGCACGAAAGGCAACTTTACATTGATGTTTCTCTCCCTCTCTCCTTCCCCCCTTCCCCTCTACAGATAAATAAGTAAAAAAATATTTTTAAAAAAAATCCTCAAATGGTGTAAGCCAAAATGTTAAAAGTGGTTATCACTAGGTGATCACTTTATGGAAAGTTTATGTTTTTTCTTGCTTCTGTTTTCTAATTTTTCTACAATAAACATGTATTATTTATCTGTAAGTTTTTTCTTCTTTTGTAACTGGGATGGTCTACCTCATGAGAAAGTCACCATGCTGACAATACGAGCAGTGTTGACAATTACAGGTAAGGGTCACTACAGAAGAAACCCTAAATTGAATGGAGGTGACCTTTAAGGCTCACTCAACACTAGAGTTCTAGTTACTTCTCCAAGCTTTCCACTCATCTAAAAGCTCTGATTCACTGTAACAGCAAACGTCCCCCTCGCCACCCAATGCTGCTCCTCCCAAATCTTTACCTCTGGGGTATTGTGACGAAGCCAATAGTAGGCTTCTCGGAAATCATCAAAAATGATCCTGCTGCCATCCCCACCACGAGCAGACAGCACGATGGAGGGAGAAGAGTAGGCCTCACTGGTCACCCAGGTCGAATGAAAGGTGTAGGTGATGAGAAAGAAAGCCATGACCAGTACCATCCCACTTGCCACCTATAACATGGAAAAATGTGTTATAAAACCAAATTGAATTTACACGGCACAGACCAGCTTCTTACACACAGTCAATGATAACAGAGAAGATGAATCAAAACAACTCAGGGGTTAATTCTGACCACTTATGACAGTCCTCTGCTCCCTCACTCAAAAAAAAGATGTATCTACATGCACACACACACAGAGGCACACACAGCTTCCCAAGCCTGTTCCTGCTGTTGCACAATTCTCACTTCATTCTTAATAGGGTAGGTAGAATCCTGCTGCTTCTTGCTCTTCTTGTCTGGACGACTGATGTCCAGATTCTTCATGTAAGTGGACAGCACCTGCGAGACTCCAATGCCAGAAAGAATGCACATCACGGGTGCCAACACCAGCATCAGACGCACCTAAAAGAGATCGCGGTCCAATCAGTGGTGTACAAAATGACAGATTTCAACCTATGAGGAGGTTATGACATCAATTTAGGGGTTTACAACAAACATGGCTTTTCAATGAATAGAACAAAATAGAAAAAAATCATTGATAAATCTACAGAAGTATGTATTTCTTAAACTTTACTTTTCAGTTATATATGTGTATGTGTCCTAAGTAATTTAATATAAAATAATTTCTTTTTAAAAAAATTTTTGGGAAAGTTGCTGAGAATTTAATATGCTAATTTACCTTGTAATTTTATTTTATTTTATTTTTTAAAAGATTTTACTTATTTTCAGAGAGCAGGGAAAGGGAAGAAGAGAGGGAGAGAAACACCAATGCGTGGATGCCTCTTAAGCGCCGCCCCTACTGGAGGCCTGGCTTGCAAATAAGGCATGTGCCCTGATTGGGAATTGAACCAGCAACCATTTGGGTCACAGGCCTGCGCTTAATCCACTGAGCCACACCAGCCAGAGCTACCTTATAATTTTAAAAAATCTATTTCTTAACTGTGGTTTGGGATCAAAAAAAGTGTGAGAAAGTCTTGTTACATTGTGTAAAATCTCTTCTGTTTTTAACCTAGCACAGGACAATCCTTGGAGGCATTTAAGAAAAAACCCATCATCTCCCTGTTTAAGACACCCAACAAGAGAGCGGAAGGAACCTGCCCGGGGTCACGGTCTCCAACAAGTGTCCCAGTGTCTCGCCCTCACACACAGGTAAGAACACAGGAATTCGGGTCCACAACCACAATGTGTGAGTGCGTCACACATTCCTGTGACAGTAAACAACAGCTTTGTAACTCAGCCCTCAGGTGCTCAACAGGAAGCACCTGAACCATCATCAGGACCTTCTGACTCCTGCTATGGAGGAAACACAAAAGCACCTCTGAGTTAGGAGTGGAAAGGTGCACCAGGACTGAGAGAATTACTCACCATCACGGCTGAAAAGTACATGCTGGTCACACCGTACATGATGATGAAAATCCGGGCATCAGACAGGTTGCTAAAGCAGTAATAGAGACCAACTACAAAAGTAAAAGAAGAAAACAGCTAAAAATAACAATCACAGATACATGCAAAAATGTTCCATATAGCACTTTTTAAAATAGCAAAAATTCAGAGACCGCCTAAATGTCCAACATGAAGGAGGTAAATTATGGCGTATTAGTAAAATGGAGGGCAATTCATTAATTAAAATATTGCTGCAGAGAGATGGACCATTTGCCTTCTCCTTTACACATCACTGTAACTTTTAAAAAACTAGCAAATAATATATCTTAAACGGTATTTCTCTAAAATAATATTAACCAGAAATTATCACAATTCTTTCTGAAATGAAAAAAGTCGGGGGAAAAATGTATCACCTCATTTGTAGTCAATAAATAACTGGATGAATATACGTCAAAATGTTACAGTAGCAACAGATATGTGGTGAAAACTGAAATCTTTTTTTCACTTGTGTATATTTTAAAAATAGATAGCTTACTTTCAATAAGAAAAAAATGTAAAAAAAAAAAAAAAAGGAAGCCTGCTACATTGGTAAATTCTAAAACATATCTGGATTGGCCAGAAAATAAGTTAGGTGAGAAGGCTTTACAATCAACCATGCCTATTCTGGATTTCAATACCACCAAGAAGATAAATGGGAGGAGTCAGGGGTGGGTGGTGGGAGAGAGGGACACTAGAAGCATTTAAAAAAAAAAAAAACCACCCGAATATGAATTAGAGTTGAATTTTAACTTATACATGAACAGAAAACTCAAATTCCCAGGCTCTGCGACTGTTCAATTGTATCATCAACTCTTCTTCAATATCAGAAAAGAGTGCTCAGCCATTTCTGTACTGCATGAGGTAAATAGGCAAAAAACAAAAGCGCACGGACGAGGGTATTTTGCTTATTTTGAAAAAAAATGGTGATTCTTACAAAGGACACTTCAACACAAGGCAGACAGACCTGGAAACATGAAGACAAGAAGCTGCAGGTCAAAATAGTACGAAGACCAGGTTGTGGGCTGATGCTCAGACACAGAAGCAATGATGGGGATGTTGTTCTTGGCGTAGGAGGGATCCAACAGTGAGTAGAAACGCCCCGTCCAGGGAGATATTTTTCCTGGCAGCAAAGAAACAGCAAATATTTCACAATCACTCCTGAAACAAAATAACCCTAACTAATCACAACTTCTCATTTTAATTAGATTCTCCAAGACAGAGAAGGACTAGGTCTTTGTTTAAATGCTATCACTACTTCGAGAATTTATTCCACGTCTAAATCCATGTACATTTAAAAATAAAAGCCACAGTGAGCCTTCCCTACCTGTCAGCATGAGGAGAGCTCCCACGGTGAGAAGGACAAAGCCTACCAGGGAGATGACACTTCGGAAAAGGACTTCAAACTGCTGTGGGTTCAACTTGCTGCGCAGATAATCCACGAAGGCATGGATCTGGCAGAGACCAAAGACCCCGAAGGCGGCCATGTGTTCTGATGACAGGACAGGCTGTTGGTGAAAGCATCTGTATGAGTGGCGTCGGAAAAGAACGGGTCCACCGTAGACCTGAGTATGCTGCCCCTAGCTAGACCAAGGGGTCAAATGAGTTCTGAAACCACCAAGGAACTAGGACCAATCTAGAGAAGGGTCTAATTCACCTGCTACATCGTCTGAAGAAAGCATATCACATCTCCGGCCTTTCCTCGAGCTACTACCTTTCAGCCTGTACTGTAATTTTCTTTTCCTAAAAATTTGCATTCCCTGAAATTCTCATCATTCGAGGCCCAATGCAAATACCATTTTCCCCTGATTCTGCTGAATTAAAGTTCATCACTCTCCTCTCTGGTCGCTGAACTTTAAATCTCTTCCATCACTTAGAGTCTGTTTAGACCAGCTGTTCTCCAACTCTAGCAGGCATGGTAATTGTGGGGAGCTAGGAGGTGGAGACTGCTGAGCCCCACCCCTAGATTTTTGGATTCAGTAACTGTGCCCTACCCACCACAATCTACATTTCTATCAAGTTCCCAGACCCTGCTGATGGTCCAAGAACTACGTTTCCAGAACCACATGCTATAGACCACAGACAGCGCATGTACTTCTTTCCCTACAGCAAGACTCTGTAACCTCCTGAAGGACCAGAAGCATCTGTTACTTCTCACATTTCCAGGTTATTGGCGAATTGCATATAGGAGATGATCAGTAAAGAAATACTTGCTGACCTGTAAATTAGGACAACATGGGAAACCAAACACATATTTTTTAAAAATATATTTTATTGATTATGCTATTAGAGTTGTCCCATTCTCCCCTTCATTCCCCTCCACCCTGCACACCCTCTCCCACCCACATTCCCCCCCTTTGGTTCATGTCCATGTCTTAAGTTCTTTAGCTTTTACATTTCCCATATTATTCCTGCCCTCCCTGTCTATTTTCTACCTACCATCTATGCTACTTATTCTCTGTACCTTCTCCCCCTCTCCTCCTCCCACTCGCCTGTTGATATCCCTCCATGTGATCTTCATTTCTGTGGTTCTGTTCCTGTTCTAGTTGTTTCCTTAGTTTGTTTTTTGGTTTGAGTGGTTGTTAATAATTGTGAGTTTGCTGTCATTTTACTATACATGTTTTTTATCTTCTTTTTCTTAGATAAGTCCTTTTAACATTTCATATAATAAGGGCTTGGTGATGATGAACTCCTTCAACTCGACGTTATCTGAGAAGCACTTTATCTGCCCTTCCATTCTAAATGAAAGCTTTGTTGGGTAGAGTAATCTTGGATGTAGGTCCTTGTCTTTTACGACTTGGAATACTTCTTTCCAGCCCCTTCTTGCCTGTTAAGGTCTCTTTTGAGAAATCAGCTGACAATCTGATGGGAACTCTTTTGTAGGTGACTCCCCTTCTCTCTTGCTGCTTCTAGGATTCTCTCCTTCATTTTTATCTTGACTAATATAATTATGATGTGCCTCAGCGTGTTCCTTTTTGGGTCCAACTTCTTTGGGACTCTCTGAGCTTCTTGGACTTCCTGGAAGTCTATTGCCTTTACCAGATTGGGGAAGTTCTCCTTCATTATTTGTTCAAATAAGTTTTCCACTTGTTGCTCTTCCTCTTCCCCTTCTGGTATCCCTATAATTCGGATGTTGGAACATTTAAAGGTGTCCTGGAGGTTCCTAAGCCTCTTCTCATTTTTTTTGAACTCTTGTTTCTTCATTCTTTTCTGTTTGGTTCTTTCTTCCTTTAGGTCCACTCGATTGATTTTAGTCCTAGTTTTCTTCCCATCACTATTGATTCCCAGTGCATTTTCCTTCATTTCACCTAGTGTAGTCTTCATTTGTTCATCTAATTTGCGACCAAATTCAAAAAATTCTGTGAGCATCCTATCACCAGTGTTTTGAACTGTGCATCTGATAGGTTGGCTATTTCTTTGTCACTTAATCATATTATTTCTGGAGCTTTGATCTGTTCTTCCTTTTCGGACATTTTTTTGTCTTGTCGTGCCTGTTCATAAGGGGCAGAGCCTTAGACGTTCACCAGGGCAGGGCAACACAGTTGCTGGGTTGTCATGCTGTATGTGGGGGTGGGGTCCGAAAGGGAACAATGGTGCTTGCTCTGCTTTCTGTTGGATTTCGGTCCCCTCCACTGCTTCCCCCAAGCAAACTGGGCCTTTCTGGTGCTGATTCTCACGTGGATGGGCTTGTGTGTGTTCTAGGACCCTGTGGGTCTCTCCAATTAATTCTCCTGTGAGGCTGGGAGTCTCTCCCCGCACTTCAACTCCCACAGGTATTTTCAATCAGTATTTTGAGGCTTTTATTTCTTGGCACTGGGACCCTGGGTTGCGCAGTCTGTCTTGTTCCCCAGTTATCTAGAAGCGTGAATGCGGGACCGCCACTGGTCAGCTAGCAGCTTTCTGTGCAGTGCCTTGCTTCTCAATTGTGCCTCACTGGGTCTGTCTGTTGCCACCCTGTGCCGGGGTCTGCTAGCCACCGTCTGTGCACCCAGGGTCCACCCGCTGCATTTGCATGCCCGGGTTGCCTTGTGCGCCCGGTATTACTGCTTCCTGTGCCATGACCCCTCTCCGATTGGCCTCCTAACTCCACCCCACCTACTGGTCTGAATGAATGTGTCTATTCATCCTTGGCTGTCCTTGGACAGCTCCTGTCCTGAAGTTGGAAAGCTCCTTGGCTGTCCAACCTCCATACAGTTCAATTTTCTGTCAGTACTGGTTGTTTTTTTGTTTCTAAATTTTTGTTGTCTTTATTTTGGTTGTGTGAAGAGGCCCAATGTGTGTTCCTATGCCTCCACCTTGGCCAGAAGTCCACATCATATTATTCTGATTTAACAGCTGTCTTTTAACTCTGGAGAATAATGTGGCTTGGTTTGCACTCTGCTTCCTGAAGGACTTTGGCCTAGGCCCCATTAAGAAGTTCAGAGGTCATCATCATTAAAAAGAACTACAAATAATTTTGATCACTCACATCAACTCAGCTCCACCAAAATATCATTCTCTCCTCCTCCTTCGAACCCATAAAATAAAGAGTCATAAATTCAAACTTCATGAAGCAAATATTATTGGAGAGTCATAAATTCAAACTTCATGAAGCAAATACTAATGGAGAGAAGACTTTAATGATTAACTGTTACTTCAGTTAATGCAAGCAGTCCAAGGTTAGAGCTATGAGTAAGTCTTACTCCCCTCACCAAAATCCAAGATAAACTGATCCAGTCGGAGCTGCTTAGAAAAAGCAGAAGCTAAAAACCGCACTCAGCCGTGGGCTCACCTGGAAGCCCACAAAGGAGATCTGCATGGAGAGAATGGTGCCCAGGCAGTACACCGTACAGTAGGCCACGTAGATGCGGTGGGAGAAGCGTCCTGTGAGCATCAGCACCAGCACATGGAGGGGGATCAAGTTGATCAGGAACACGTAACCTCCCCACGAAGAGACCTGTGGCGGCATAAAAAAGAACAGTTCCTCCAAGGGCTCCACCTCAACCACCACCATTATACTGTAGGTTGTGACCTGTGACCTTTTCAAAGAACATGTCTTTACAAAAACCGATAAACCTTATTTATGCCAAGTGGCATAAAGAGTTTAAATAACTGATTTCTTTCAACAGGAATTTCTAATTCCCACCCGTAAATCAAATTCGCACCCATTGCTATAACTCAATCCCATTCTCTAAAGCTCCTGACATCAAAATCACAAAACAAGAGGCACCCAACCTTTAGGGTTAATTTGCACGCAATCTACTTGAAGTTCACACGGAGGATTTAAGGATACATGCAAAACGTGAGCACATGGAAGTAGGTAAGGAAAGAAGTCTAAGTGTACACATAAAAATCAAACAAATAAATACATATAATAAAGGAAAAATTTAAGAGGAACATATCAGAAGAGAGAGTTGACCAATAATATACCCAGAGGAAAGATGGAATCTGGAGAACTTTAAAAGTTAAAACATCTCTATCTTGCTATATACAGTTGCTATCCATGCCTGCCTTGGATCAGTCTTTGTATGGATACCAGTATAAAGACCTCTAGCTTTCAGTCCTTGGTCTCAAAGCCCAAGAGCTACTGCCAGCTCCTATCAGTTGACCCCAGCAGGTATTCAGACAGGGACTCCTAGAAGAAGACAGGGAAAAGTTACCATGTAGAAATAAGCAAGGGCGCACTTGGCTGCCCAATAGATGGAACCAGTCTTCACCGCTTTGATCCACATGTAGTAGGTGAGGAGCATGCAAAAAATGGCAATTCCTGCAGAAAGAATGCAACGAAAAGTCAACAGAGGGCCATGCTGCCATCATGTTTAAGAACGCTATTCTGGAACTAACCACCTGCATTCTTATCTCAGATCTACTACTCATTTATAATACAGCTAGTTTGCCTTCCTTTGTCTCAGTTTCTTGTGCAAGTGAGTCCATAATAGTTTCTACTCAGTAAGTGTTATAAAGATAAAAATTGTCGCACGCAATGCACTCACGATAATACCCCTCACACAGCAAGCACTGAGTGAGTGCTGGCCATGACCATTACAATTCGCCCCAGGCACTACACTCCCTGCTAGCGCAGCCCTGAGTGTCACACATCCTGCACCGTCCCACATCTCCCCCTTCTACAGCCTGGTCCTTACACCCCGACTGCCCCTCTTTTCAATTTAATTTGGCCTTTAGAAGTCCCCACCTCGGGGTCCAGTTCAACCTAAACTGCTTCCGAAAAGCCTTCCCTGATCCCCAACTCTGAATTAATATCTCCTTTAACTACATTTCCAAAGTGCTCTGTTCTTACTTCTTTCACAGCACACAATACTATCTGCCTGTTAGTAGGAATTTTTATGTCTGTGCTACATTTATCTTCCTTAGTAGATTACAGACCAACACAACTTTACTCATTAATCTATGTCTATAATTCCTTAATTATGAGCCAAAATAACCTTTCTTTATAATACCTAACACTGTTTTCCCAATAACACTCTATAAATATATGCTGAATTGAAAATGAGTCAAAGTCATTGTAGTTCTAAAAACATCCACTCCTCTTATCTAGGAAAAGCAAGCAAATAAATGTTAAAACTAGAGCACCATTCAACACTAAAAGTTCACACCACTCTCATGAGTCCAGAGGTGAGTCAAATACCTTCCATAAGGAAAATCACCAGTTAACTTTCCACAGGGGTGGCAGAGAGAGAATATAAACTTCTCTGAGGTCCCTTCCTGCCCATTTCTAATCTTCTTGCCCAAATGCCATTATTGCTATTGCAAACAATAGGTATGGACCCAGACTCTAATACACTTCAGGGAGTTCTACTGGAAAACAAAGTGATAGATCTTTTTTGGCACATTCAGCTTTACCTTCATTGTCGTAGGAGCCGGCCACTGACCGGGAGATATATCCGGGAACCACAGCAATCATGGCAGCAGCGAGAAGTCCCGCCCCTGCGTCCTGTAAGAAAAGAGGGGAGACAGGAAGTTAACACCAATACATCTATGAGAGAGGAGAAGAGAGGATCCACTAGTCCATTCTGTTTAAAATGGGCCCAGAGAACAGTCCGACACTTTCAAAGGTAAATGTGATGCTAGAAATGTTCACAGCACAAGACAGCTAAAAACTTCACACCAATTCTCCATGCTGATACCAAGTCTGAAACTAAGTACACATATGCTGAAGACAGACAATCATGCAAGCTGTCAGACATCAGACACTGTCCCAGAAGGGGCTGTTTGACTGGGATCTCCCTAACAACACCTGCACTCCACGGGACACGAGTCACACCTCTAAACACTATGCAGGTGCAAGCAAAGGGAGACAATTATTATTCGAATTAAAAAGCCAACTATGGTGATAACCCATCTGAACTAAAGATCCCAGGAGCTTACACAATCAAGTTGGAACATCACCAGGCAATCTGTGAGCTCAGGCGAGAGGAACAACAAAACATAACCCACACCCAAAACGGAAGAACTTATCTATTAATAAGAAGCAAATTTGGAACAAGGGCAGCAAGGAGAAGCATGAAAAAGCTGCCAAGTTAAACTCCAGTTTCCCAAACCCTCCTATTGGTTTGACATCCTCAGGTATCTCCCTGACTCCACAGCTCCACAAACTACAAATAGCCTCCAAAGAGCCAGGGTCAGCAGAAACCTAGAAAAACGGTCAGTATTACTGAGTCTACTACAAAAGCCAAGCAGCTTAGAATTTTTAAATAAATACTTTAAAAAATAAACAAATAACTGCTAAGTGTTCATTTCTAGTAGGAAGAACTAACTACTTTAGAGTATGTCCTACAGTTATTTTTCCTCTCCCTCAGACTGTGAGGACTTAAAAATCTAAACCTCACATTCTGCATTTCACATGTTTACCCCCTTATGTAGCAATTTACACGTGACTTTTAAATGTTCTCTTTAGAGAACACAGTTGTGAATGGTAAGAAACCACATACTCTGAGGAGCAGAAGTGAACCCAAAAGGCTCAGCAGAAGCCGTCTTTGGCCTCCAGCTCCCTGCCCATGAAGGCGCAGCCCCCACCCTGTACCATCTCCTAGAGAAGCTCAACAACAGCCATTCCCAAGCCTCCTGTCACCCCCAATCCTTCACCTTGAGCTCTTTGGTAAGGTGGTACGTGACGATGGTGGTGAAGGAAGAGAAGAGAGGGGCCAGGAACACACAGACATTCCGAATGTCGATGGTTATGTGGAAAAAATGGAGTACATGGTAGATTGCAGCAGAGGTGATCATTAAGCCTGTAACAGGAAGAAGAAACTCCATTAGGTTACCCTGGGATAAGGAAATTAAGGGAAGCCCTGGCTGGTGTGGCTCAGTTGGTTGGGTCCTGGCCTGTGAACCGAAAGGTTGCTGATTTGACTCCCAGTCAGGGCACATGTCTGGGTTGTGGGCCATGCCCCCATTTGGGGGTGGGCAAGAGGCCACCGATCCAAGCCCTGTCCAGGTAGCTTAGCTGGTTAGAGCACTGTCCCGATACACCGAGGTTATGGGTTCAATCCTCGGCCAGGGCACATATAAATGGATGAACAAGCTGATGTTTCTCTCTCTCCCCCTCCATCCTTTCCTCCCTCTCTTTCCCCCCTTTCCTCTGCTTCCTTCTTCTCTGTCTCTAAAACCAATTAAAAAACAAAGAGGCAACTGATCGATGTTTCTCTCACACAGTTATTTCTCTCTCTCTCTCTTCCCCTCTAAAAATAAATAAAATCTTTAAAAAAATGAAAAAAGAACTTAAGGGAAAGAGAAAGGGAAAATTCAAGCACCAATAAAGTGACAACATACAGGTCTTGGCAAACCACCCAACATACTAACATACAGCAGGCCTATAAATTTCACTCCTAAGGATTCAATCAGAAGCCCAGAATTTATGAGAAACCACCCATCCCTACTCTCCTGTACATGCTCTCCTACTTATATAAGATCTACTTTGAGGAATCTGTAATCAGAATGAAATTACAAGTGTCACAAAATGAAGACATCATAGACATTTTAAAATGGTGCAATAATATGCAAATACCTACTTGTTTAAAAGAAAACACCATTTCCCTCACCTGGGTAAATTGTTCCTCCGATGATCCGGCCCAGTGGGTACCAGGCCCGGTCATCAAACCAGTTATGGAATTTGTAAAATCCCTCCTCGGCAAGGAACCGGGTAGTCCGATAGTTAAAGTACCTACAGCAAAGAATAAAGGATCCATGTCTCCTCCTGTTCATATGCAGGCACGCACACCAATCTGCAGTCGTTTATTCCTTAGATCACACCATTGAGGAACTTACCATTACTCAATAATAAAGTCGGTTTGCTACCAAAAATTACGCCAACCATGAAATCATCTTCTATTACTAGAAGTCTCATTTCTAGCTCCACACTTGCCTCAACTGAAGCACTGTTTCTCTCATAAGGAAATGCAACGAAAGGCTAACAAGATCATAAAGCTCTCTGGCAGGATACTTGGGCAGGCCGGCCGGTCGCAGGCATTCCCACAGACAGAGCGCCGAAGCACCCAGAAGTCGAAACAGCGGAGACAGGGGCACCACACCACACACAGGGACACACGCCTGCGTTCGAGGGATGAGCATCTCTAAGGATGTCAGTTTAACGCCACACGCAGGATGGAAATTTTTTAACCCTCTCCATAATACATACTTCTTAATTCTCATGTTATTTAAAATAGTTCTAAATGCCACCTACCTAATAGTATAAAATGCAAATTACATTTTAAAAGATTTGATATAAAACACTTAGCATTATGCATGGAAAGGCATGGTTGCTTAGGTCCAAGTTATGTAACCCCTTAAGTTTCACACTTAAAAATAAATTTTTTAAATGGCAAAAATATAAACAAATAAATAAAAGGAACTGTTTCCCGACTAAAGATAGTCATCACCAACTATCATTCCTGCTCAGCCCGCTCAGCCCATTCCCTCCTTGGCCAGTCCAGTGTCAGCAGCTACAGGAGAACTAGCAGAAATCTCTATCCTTCTGTCTATTGCTAATGATTGTTATTTTGGTAACTGTCAAAGAGACAAGGGATAAGAGCAACAGGCAGTCAACATGTGTCGGAACTGCGTCCTTTGCCAAACAGTAGGAGAGGCAGAGGGAGACAGAGGAGGTGTTAAGTTAGTGGGAATGGCTCTGGACTGGAGTCCCACGCTGGGCCTCCATTTTCTGCTCTGCATGAGGAAACGTCACATCACGAGATCTCTACAGCTCCCTCCAGCTCTGTGACTACGGTGCAGGTATTCTTGCTTTCCCTGACCATCTCACCCCAGAGCCTGCCCATTTAGAGGGTCTGAAGCAAAGCCCTGATTTGTTATTAAGAAATGAAAGGATGTGAGTTTCCTCATTCATGAGAAAAAATGTAAACTGTTTTGGCAGAATCCCAAAGAAAGTATCTGTATGCCTTCAGAGCGCTTTCAAGTATCTATACAAAACAAAAGGACAAATTTGCGAATACATGCTTTGTGGGAGCATTCTGAATCAATGCTTCATAAGCTGAATATACTATTTTTAAGATATCGATGGTGTGTCAAGAACCTACGATTCGGGCTCTCCAAATTTGTAATTAAGCCTTAACTTTAAGCAATACAGCACAGTGACTCCAGCGTCCAGAGACAGATAAACCTGAAGTCAAATCCTGGCTCCCCCGTGCACTACCTGTGTAACCCTGATTTGCTGCTCCCAGCCTCAGTCTCATTTGTGAGAAGGAGATAAAGTGTTCCTCCCTCGCCACAGGTACATATTTAGGTTTTAGAGATAATCTGTAAGACAGTGCTTGGGACAAAATGAATGCTCAATAAATGTCTTTCACCTCTATCTTTCATTTAATAAACAAAATCCCTAATCATACTTTCAATTTTGAAAAGCTTTCGGTTTTCCTCAGTCTTAAAACTTAACTGATAGGCTCAATATCTACCATATAAATTGTTAAACATAAATAAAATAAGTCACGGATCTCAAGTTCATGCCTTGTGATTTTCTTTTGAGCCTAAAATACATCAGCCCCCTTTCCTTCAGTCTGTATCACTAACTGCTGACCAAGCTCAGAGACCAGACAGCTTTTAGCGTAGCCAGATCTTAAGTGATAAGCAGGGATACCAGCAATGCCTCTGACATTTTCTGTAAGTTTAAGACTCACTTTGTTGATTCTAACAGAAATGTTTCAGAAGAAAACAATTATCTCCTTCAGAAAACTTGAGGGGTTCCCCTGGTACATGTATATAAAGTACATCCCCACCACTAAGAGCTCACTGGAATGTGAATTTAAAACCCATGAACCCAAATGCTTCTCCAAGAAAACAGACCCAGCAAAGGTACTCACGGGTCAAACTCATGGATGACACTTTCGAATCGCAGGACAGCAAAGAGACGAGTGGAGAATGCTGCAAATACCGAGAATTGACATTTTAGTGGTAATGTGCCATAACAGTAGATAGTAGTAGTACAAAGATAATAGTATTATCCAGCACAGATGTCCCAGGAATATAAAATGACCCCTGAATAAAGTATTTATCCATCCTCCCCACATAAAAGAAAGAGAAGTCCACTTCCTCCTGACAATGGCACCTGCATTTTTCATGCAGGCAGGACACACTTAACTAGCTATTACCAATGCCTGCAACGGTGCATTTGCCTATTAACACTGCCCTCAACTTCCACAGTCATCTTTTATATAAGGTGAGTTCCCAACAATTAACCTTAACTTTGCAGCAAACTAAGAGATAAAACAATCAAGACCATTCTTATAACTAATAAAAAGCTAAAATACTTTAAAACAGGAAGCTCAAAAGAGACTTTCAGAAATGCTAAGGCAGGCAACTAAACTGGAAAAAAAATAAATGTCCTTTTGAAATTAAGTGTCCAAGGGTCCTCAGAATCTCTTTCAGCCCTATAAAAAACCAGAATTAGCACAGCATGCTTCCCGTTCTTTCCCGGATGACCACTGGTCCTTTTAAAATCCTTGTGTTTTTTTGCCTTCATAAAATTCTACTGATGGAAAACAGCAAAAAGAACATATTACCATCTGCTAAAAATAAGAAAGCCATTCTTGATTTTTTTCCATCCCCAAAGAAAAAGTGGTGCACATGCAAACTCACACAGCACAGCAGCCATTGAGAGAATAAGAAGCTTCAGAAGCGTGTCCTGCTTCTCATAGGACAGCCGCAAAAATCCCAGTTTAGTCATCTTGACATTGATGGGTAGCAACAGATGTCACTGAAATAGCAAAAATGGAAAAATCAAGACCATGAGATATCGGACACCTTCAATTCACCTAACTCACTTTCCTATTTTATGGTGGCTGAGAAACATTAAGGCGATAGGAGCTAGAGAACACACCAGAGAAGGTCAGGGCTAACAACTGACACCCAAGTCTTGTTTGAATTATGGTGACAAGAAAGTAGGTGCAGATCAGGCCTAGGTGTCAAGACTTAAAAAGGAATGATTAGACCCATCAACATAATCCTGTTTCCCACTTCCTCACAGCTGAGGAGTACAGAAGCAACACTGGCAACCATGTGGTACAAAGAGGAAAGACAGGAATAGAAAGATGGGGGCTGGAGAAAGAGATGCAAAGAAAATAGAAAATAATGTAAATAGAGAAAAAAAACTATATGGAGAGAATATTCAAGAAAAGGCAGGGATGCATGAAAGAAAGCAAAGGATGAATATTGAGTACAGAAGTCAAAGTAGAAAGTGGAGAAAGAGAAGTGCTGAATTAGCACAACTTATAGCTGTAAACTGCAGCTTCAATGGATTCTTCTGTTTCGAATACCAGTGGGACGGCAGGGTCAACTCAAAGAGTGTGACTGATGATTAATGCAGGTATGCTTGCCATGTACTAGGGAAGAGAGGCAGATGCACAGATCACTGCACTTCCCATGGGATATTCACACTGTAACTACTGTTTAGATTTCTACCTGCTTCTAATCGGCTGTCTCAGGGCATCTCTGTAATTGACACTACTGATTCAAGCCACTGATCCCACGGACAGCTCATGGAACCACATGAAGATCTGGAGGAAAAAGAAAATGTTTCCTGTTGAAGTGAGAAAAGCTCACAGGAAAAATCAGATGAAAATAAAATGTTGAGGGAAGCATTAGGCGCGGTGATCACTTGATAAAATTTATTAGCACTTCTTTACCAAAGGAGGTTTAGCTATTTCTGTTTAAGATAGTACTGCCTTCTGAAACCCTGAGCTGGTCAAGGGCTAAGTTATAAAGAATAGAATAATAAAGGACATGCAACACTGTTCAAGGCTGCAGGGGAGGAAAAAAAACTGCACCTCCCTTGGTCTTTTTTCAGTATTACTAGAGGAAAAGAGAAAGAACAAAAAAAACACCGGGCTAGGTGGAAGGCATGAAGAATCATACATTCCTAGTCCAACAGTGAGAAATCAAGCATCTTTTTCCATAATTCACAGTCATAATTCATAACTGCTCCTAGAGGAGCAGTTTTACGTATGTTCTTAATTATAATCCCAAAAGAAAGCCTTATCTTTCAATAAAAAATAAACACCTAACTATAGGAAATCAATATTCCAGCCACATCCCTCAGGTCTGTATTTGTTCGCTGGAATGCCTGAAAAGAAAAAACTGATATAACCTACACTGAGCAGAAGAAAGGCGAGTACTCAAACCTCTACGTGAAAGCTGAGTATAAGAGCTAGTAATTCAAGTCAGTTTTCGCTGTACTCTATGGTCGCTTTTCAAACAGCCTCCGGCAAGTACGAGCAAAAGCACTTGCCTTCAACACTTAGCAACCCTTCTCCTCCTCAACTGCGCCTGCAAAGCTGGGGCACCCTTGCCTGCACCCTTTCTCACCCTCTCCAACTCCTTCACTCCCCTCCAACCCCCCTTCCACCCACTCCTGCGGGTCCCACCTCCCGTCTCCCACCCCCACCGCGAGACAACCGCCACCTCGGCATCCTGAGTGTCTGCCCCTCCAAGAGCAGCCTCAGGATCCCAGCTTCCCCACGCGCTACCGGCCGAAGAGCACCCGTATCCCAGACCTGGACACCTTTCCAACCCGGGACCCCCGACACCACGCCCCACACCCCACGCCCCTTCCTTCGCGCTCTCCAATCCGCTTCCCCTCCCCACGCCTGCCCTTGGAGCCCCACCTCTGGCACTTCCTTCAGCCCTGCCAATATCCTGGGCCGCACCTGCTGCTATTCTCAAGTTTTATCGCACGGCCCTCTCACCTGTCCGGCGTTCCTCAGGAATCTGCTCAGCTCCCACTGCCATCCGCTCAGCGGTGCACTCAACCCTGGCAAAAGCCGGGTCCGCCTCCTGAATAGCTCCCTATTGGTTGGTTCACGGCCAACACGACACTTCTGGAGAACGATAGGGTTGTGAAGCTGTCTATCAAATACAGAGGCGTGAACAGAGCCGCGCTCCTATCTCTTAAATGGACAGCACAGAAGTCACTTAGCATCCAGGAGGCGGGACTTTACGATCCTGCTGAGCTGTGACTGGCCCGCTAGTGAGAGCTGAGCGTGGACAGAACCAGCTCAAAGCAGTTTGGTTGAGGGCCGAGGAGTGACGTGTCGGTCAGCGGACCGGGAAGAAGTCGCGGAGTGGGAAAGGTGTTACCCTTTGACCCCAGTCATGTGACCAGAAGGGGAAAGTGCGCGAACGAGCAGCAGAGACGTTATACCTCTGGGTTCCGATTATGAGACTTTTTTTTCTTTAAGGTACCTAACATAAGGTTAAAGCATCCCGCCTGTGACAGTGAAAATGCAAGCGCTTTCCGGGGCAGACGGTCGGTCCCCTCTCGGACCGCTAGCTCACCAGCAGTTTGCTATCGCCACTCTTCCCACCCCCGGGAACCTGTGGTTGACTCGAACCTGGCACACTTGGGGCGTTTCCTTTCTTAGGCCTTGCCTGTGCGTCTGGCCTAAAGGGGCGGCGGGACCGTGAAGGAACCCGCGCTGGCTGTATGCAGCCCTTCCCTTGGAGCCGGCCTGCGGCGGCGTGCCCATTCAGCTCAGCTCGCGAAAGCTGCGCTTTGCTGCCGCTGCCGTCACCAGGCACACAGAAAATCTGAAGGCTCGCAGTTTCAGCATCTAGGAATACAACCCGACAAAGCACATTTAAATCGGTGTTTCAGAATCGTGTGCATTTTTCAGAATCCACGTGACCAGACTCACCACCCCCAGACGTTATAGCTCAATAAATGCTTGTTTTATATGTTCAATGTAATTTCTAACTGAATGAAACTGAAGCTGAATCTGAAGGAATTGCAGAATCTCAAGTAAATGCTTCTTCAAAACAACTTAGGTTTTTTTCTTAATAAGGAGGAAGGGGAATTAAAATAAGATTCCTTTAAAGTGGAAAAAAAGTACAGTTGCAAGACCATTTAGATGGGGTTCTCATTTTTTCTTTTTAAATTATTGTGTTTCCTAAAGGAAACTTTGAGAAGTTGAAATATACTACTGAAATATACTTTAAGAACAAAGTTTAAAATCTAAGCCTAGTTTTGGGACATTCTTTAACCCAATTGATAGGGAAAGATTTATTGTCTATAAGCAAAATCAAAGTCAGGACAGCAGTCATTATTGTGATCATAAACCAAGAGTTTATGCATGAATCCAGCATATAAAGTTAACCCTCCTCATCAAAAGTTTTGAATTTGTTCTTTCAGAAAAATTCTACTATTCCATCAGTTGTCTAAGATAAAGCTATTTTTAGGTTGCTTTGTAAAATCATGTTATTCCTGTGGAGCTTTTGGTCTCTCCCAAAGTATCTTTTTACCTCTTTTATATAATTCTTCAAAAGAAACATTTGGAGCACATGGGAGTAGTAAGATCTTGATGTGCTCCCCAGGACCCTTTCCAGGTGTGCTGCAAAGCAAAACTACCAAGATTTCTTCTCAATGCACTGATTCCAGGTTCATGTTTGGTTGGATGTTTTGTTTCCTTTAATTAGTAATCTATTTCTTGTGCTTTTTGCTTTGATAGATTTTTCGAGGAACTTTGAATGAAAAGCAAACAGTGCCTTTATTTTGTCCTTAATCACTAGCAAAGATGGGTCTAGAATTATAAGAACAAAATTGGGACCGTCCTGTCACATACACACAGGAACACAGATAAAAGCACTTTTTCAAAGCATTACAATTTTGTCTTCTGTTGGGCTGGCCAAAAAGTTCCTTTGGTCTTTTCTGTAAGATGGCCCTAGGAACAATTACTTGTCTTGAACTTCATTCAAAACAATTTTGTTGGATTATATTGTGACAGCTGTCATATGTGTGCATTAAAAAAAAACATCAAAATTGATGTGTATCCATTTTAATATTGAAGATAGAAGAAAATAGCATTTTCAGCATGTTATACTTTATTATTTCGAGAAAGGTAAAAATGTAACTGAAACAAAAAGATTTGTGCAGTGTATGGAAAAGGTGCTATGATTGATGGAATGTGTCAAAAGTGGTTTGTGAAGTTTTGTGTTGGAGATTGCTTGCTGGACAACGCCACAGGGCCAGGTTGAAGTTAGTATCAATCAAACCCACACATTAACTGAGAACAATCAATGTTATATAAGGTGGGAGACAGCTGACATACTCAAAATACCCAAATCACTAAAGTTATTAGTGAAAATGAAAAATGTGTCTTCTTTCATTTTACAGGAAAAAAAAACTCAGACTTTTTGGCCAACCCAGTATTGGAGTTGTTCTTGAGAAGTCCAATGCCAGCGTGAATCACATTCCTTTGTAGGTGCCCCATTTTTCCCTGATAAATTATTTTTCCTCGGAGATCACATCTATGTGGTTTTTTTTCCTTCATTTTTCCTGCCCTGCACTTGTCAGTCCTTTTCTATCTGCAAACTCCAATTTCCACCACTGGAGGAAATTTTTTATTTTACTGTCTCTATGTTTCTATTCATTTTCTTAAGTTGCTATTAGACAAAGGTTGGATTCCCGATTCTTGGATACCTGTGTGATTCTTAACTTTTTCCATGTCTAGATTGTTTTGTTCTATGTTGTGTGAGACTTCTTCCATTTTATCTTGCACTTGCCTCCCTGGGATCACTTTTACAGGCCACCTCATTTTATGCCCATAACTGCTTTCATTTGTCCCCTTTCCACAACAGTGTGTTTTCGTTTCATTGATGCACTGGCCTCCTAAACTTCTGTGGAAGTAGTTAACATTTTTAAGATTGTACTTATTTACTCTCAGAGAGAGAGCAAGGGAGGGGAAAGAGACATCGATTAGACGCCCCCAACTGGGAACCCAGCCCACAACCCAGCCATGTGCCCTGACTGGGAATCAAACTGGCGACTTTTCAGTTCATAGGCCAGCCCGCGCTCAGTCCACTGAGCCACACCAGCCAGGGCAGCCATAATTAAAATGTGTTTTTAGAATCACATTTCCTCCAGGAACAGATAGTGTACTTGAGGCAATCTGAGATGATCCTGAGGCAACTGCCTGGTTAAGAATATTTACCTACATGGTCAAATGGTCACTATTTTCCCCAAAGCCCGGACGTACTACACAGCACCTCAATGTGAAATCTCTTTGAGTAAAACAAGAATGAGGCTGATGGTGTGGCCTAATCTCTCATCATACATTCTCTGAATTTTAATGTCTTGTTCAAGTTGAGACCTGTAGAAAATGGTAGCTAGCTATTTTAACACATAATTTCTAAAGACTTGCTGGATGACTTTTGTCAGTCTCCTTCACTGCACTGTGAGGTCCAAGGAGGCAGTAACCCTGTCTTTCTGGTTGATCCTTGAACCCACAGTGCCTGGCAGAGAAGGCACTGGGATGCTTGTTACATGATAGTCGTCTGTTCTGCCGCCTGAGCCTTTTACTGGCTCTGTGGGTTCCTTTTAGGCACATTCAAAATATCCAGATGCATGGCCCACATGGTTCAAAAGCCTAAGTTACACTGACCTTTCACTTCTTTCCACTTCTGAGTCCATAGCATAGAATTGTATGGGTGGGGGCGGGGGCGCTGTTGGAGCCACTTCCATTGTACTGATGAACTGATAACCTTCACCAGGGCAATCACAGTCCAGGTAAACACACGAGTGTAGACGTTGAATAGATGTCCTACTTCTACACTCAGAATATGGAAGTGGGTGAAAAATGAATAGACAGCGAGCAACTGTAGTTGCCCTTTTATTCCCAGATGTTATCCTTTTAAGATGGTTCACAAACCTCTAGCCATTTATTACTGGGTTTGTCCTGATTCCTCCCTTACAACATAAGAGCACTTAACAACCCAGCTCATGAATCTGTTCATTTGTTTCCAGCAGACTGAACATACCCTGCCCAGGTCTGAACGAACCACTAACTCCTCCTGAGTTGTTATAATGGGCAGCCCATCTCTAGATAGGATAAAAGGGTAGTGTTTTGAACCACGTATACCTGTCTATCCCTGAAGATGTCTATCCCTGAAGAGTTTTTGTGAACATGATTCCTTAGATCTCACTGGTTGCATGGTTAAAACTCATGCTGTCATCTTTAGTAATCACCAAATTTCCATGGTAGATACGCCACAGGCCTGGCCTCTCTATTACATTAGTAAAACTGCAGACTCCTCACTTCCAACCACTTGAACTTTAAGCATTTTCTATAGCAAGATGTAGCAAGATAAAATCACGTGGCTTCACTCAACCTCTCTCACCCTTCTAAACAAATACTAACTTAGTTGGTACAAGTGTCAGATGACAAACATGTGGCCACTTGAATACTAAGCTCATTTTAAAAACTTAAACACTACACCCTGACTGTTGTGGTTCAGTAGATTGAGTGCTGGCCTGTGAACCAAAGGGTTGCCAGTTTGATTCCCAATCAGGGCATATGCCTGGGTTGTGTGCCAGGTCACCAGTGGGGGGCACGTGAGAGGCAACCACACATTGATGTTTCCCTCCCTCTCTTCCCCCCTTTTCTCCCCTCTAAAAATAAATAAATAAAATCTTTAAAAAAACATATACAACTAATCTTAAGGTAATCAATGATCAGTTACAAACTGATGAACTACTGAGGTCTTCAAACCGTCCCCAAAGCAACCTGGCATTTCTCCACAATACTATTGACAAATGAACACAGATGTCACAGAGGAGTACTGGAGGTAAATCTTGTTTTAGCTTATGTCTTTTACAGTTTTTTGCACAAGCTGCAAAACAACACCTACTTCCGAGATGCCCACTATTTAAAAATCTTCTACACCTTGAACTTGGTTTTCATCTCCCAGCACTAATTTTTAAATCCTCGTCTTGTACATAGTAAAGGTTTCTGTTAACAAGATGTTTCATCTCTTCTCCAGTGAGAATGTCCAATAGACTGAAATCTAGAAG